GATAAACCACTGTGATATTCTGTTGTGTTATAGTATACATAAAATTTCAGCCAAGAAAAGAATGAGGACACACTTTTATTGTCTTTGACCTGACTGCGTTTACCACAGTGGGTGCCAGAATCCTAGTCCCAGGGTAATGATTTTAAAGTTGAAACCACAGGAATGTGTGCAGTCAACAGTGAAAATTATACTCTGCCAGTTTTTCTTGCTGAAATCTTGATACTAAATAGTACAGAAGAAAAATCTAGCCACTTTATTATGCTAAAGGATCTCCCCCTTGTGCCTAAATTTTGTATTGAACTTAAGCAGGATTGAAAGTCATCAGGTTGGTGGTATACGATATGAATTTTTTAAGGAGAAAAGCAACTTCCCTTCTTATAGAAAGCAATTACTCAATATTGAGAGTTTGGGGCTATAAGTCTAATATAAACACTATTCTAGGAGAATTAGAGTAATTGGGTTGCTTCAAATAATTCCCAGTGACTGAAGACCTGCAAATCTGAATGGGGATTAAGTTACTTAAAGATGTTCATTACAGCTTCATTAATAATGGCAAGAAATTTGAACACTCTACACAGCAAAAGAAAATACAACCTAGCTATATGATCAAATGTTTGTAGCCATTTTCCCTAGCTGGTGTGGCTCAGATGGTTGGAGCATCATCCTGTAAACTGAAAGGTCGTGGGTTTGATTCCCAGTCAGGGCACATGCCTAGATTGCAGTTTTGGTCAGTCCTCAGCAAGAGGCAACCGATCAATGTTTCTCAATCTCTGTCTCTCCATCCCTTCCCCTCTCTCTAAAATTAATAAGCATGTCATCAGGTAAGGAATTTTTTTTAAAAAAATTTGTAGCCATTTTTTTAATTTTTAACAAATAGAAAATTGATCACACTATAGAAGGAATAAAGTGGTATTTTAAAAAATGCAGACATTTCTGGGAAACTCCCAATTATATGTTTAATTCACTCAACCAGTACTTATTTGATTGACCTAATTGACCAGGCTTTCTGGCAGACTCATTTCATCCTTCAGGCTTTGATTTAAATAGCATCACCTCAGAGGTTTAAAAATTACTTCAAAGGCTGGAATCCGTCACCTATCAGTCATTCATTGAGCCCCTGCTCTATGCTCAACATGACATGTGGGGCAAATACATGAAGACACAGTCAGCGGCTGCCCCCAAAGATGTATGACTAATAGGAATTGATACTGGAGAAGTGTCTTCCGTAGGAACTGGTTTTCCCGTCTATCTCTTAAAAGATCAATATATTAAATAAACGGAAACGGGGAAAGGTGACCCACCAGGAAAAGCAGGAAGGCAGAGAACAATGCGAGTGGCAGGCTCTAATGGGACGGCTCCGTGGGCGCTCACCTCCTGTGACAGAATCCCCCTGCTTCTGGGAAAAGATCGGGTTTACGGAATATGCAGGCGGCCACTAGAGGGGGCCAGAATGCTGCTATCTTTCAGCACGACGCCAGTTTCCCCAGGGAAATCTGCATTTGAGATTGACTGCTGTTCAAGCTGACCAGAAATAACTTCTGCTTTTCCAGTAAAATTGTGAGAATGTGACTCAGGTCACACAGTTGACAAGAAACCAGGGATTTATGAGTCCCAGACCACTACTGAGTCCCAGGTCATACTGCTATCCAAGGAAAAAAAAGAAAAAGAAAAAAAAAGAAACCCACTTCCATCTCTCCAGGAGGAAATAATTAGTAAAACTAGAAAGGAAAATTGCAAAAGTAAAATGACAATGACAGAAACTAACTAACCAGACAAAAACTTGAGTTGAAAACATACTTCAGAATTAAAAACGAAGTTTTACACAGTATGATCCTTTTTAATCTTAGAAGTGTAAAAAATATGTCTATACATGAAGAAAACTTAGAAATACATGTATCAAAATCTTAACAGGGTTATTTGAAGGTGGTAGGATTATGTTCTTGTTTTCCTCAATTTTTTCCCTCTGCTTTATTCATTTCCTACAATTTCAAGACATTGCTAATTGACATTAACACTTTATCTAGGTAATAAGACAAGCATGTGCCCCGGCTTGCGTGGCTCAGTGGATTGAGCACCAGCCCGTATAGACAGAAAGGTCACCGGTTTGATTCCCGGTCAGAGCACATGGCTGGGTTGTGGGTCAGGTCCCCAGTTGGGGGCATGTGAGAGGCAACTGATATATCTCTCATGCATTGATGTTTCTTTCCCTCTTTTTCCCACTCTTCATGTCTTCCTAAAATAGGTAAGTAAATAAGTAATTAAAAGGCAAAGCATGTATAGAAGTGTTCCGTGTCCTTGATCTTCAGGCCCGGCCCAGCAGAAAAGGAGGTAGAGGAGTTTTGTGGGGGCAGTAGCACCAGAACAAGGTTCAGTGGGTTTTGGGCAAAGTGAGCCCTTAGAATAATGGGTGGAAGAGGGAATTTTCATTAACCTAACTCTGAACTATTTTCAATCCACTCTAGGATTTTCAGAAAATGTAAGTAAAGGGCTTGAACTATGTTGATAATGTTCTTTTGTGAAGAGTATTTCTTTTATAGAAACATGACCTTGAATTTGAACACAGGTTCTGGTTTTATAAAAGTTCAAAAGCATTATTGCATTTTATCAAGCACAAAACACTGCCTGAAGTTGTTTTTAAAAGCTGAATCATCCCTACAAATCTTGTTCATCTGCTGTTCTATCAAAAGTTGCATAAACTACCATCCTCCATTTAACTATTTACCTGCCCTTCACCCACATTTCCATCATACTATACCTAAAGTATCGGGTCTATGTCTTGATAAAAATGTATTGCATGAAATTTATGAGCCACTTTCTTTGGGAATTACTTTAAATACTTCCCCAAGTGTGGTATCAGCAGTTGAAACAACTGCAGATGCTGTTCTGGGAAAGTTCCCCAGATCACTCAGCTCTTCGGTGGAAAACCGCCGGCCCACTCCAGAGCCACGGCTTTCCCCATCTGCTACCCCGTACTGAGGCCAAACACATGTAGGCCAAGTTTGCTGGAATGGAAGCAGGAGAGGGCTGCAGGCAGAGCACTGTTCACTGGATGCCGTGGTCCCTCACTCTAGTGGCTCTTAGGGATAAGCAGTTCAAAAACCAATGTTTTGCAAGAAAAGAAAAAAGATTAAAAAAACTTCATTAAAATCTAAAACATCTGCCCTGGCTGGTGTGGCTCAGTGGATTGAGTGCCTGGCCTGCGAACCTAACGGTCACTGGTTTGATTCCTGGTCAGGGCTGCAGGCCAGGTCCTCAGCTGGGGATGTGTCAGACAACTGATCAATGTACCTCTCGCACACTGATGTTTCTCTCCCTTTCTCCCTTCCTTCCCCTCTCTCTAAAAATAAATAAGTAAATAAATAATCTTAAAAAAAAATCTAAAACTTCTGTATTGCAAATGATATCAAGAAAGTGAAAGGCCAACCTACAGAATGGGAGAAAACATATGCAAAGTATATCTGATGAGACTTGTATATAGAACATATAAAAACTTGTACAACTCAATAAAAATATAATTTTAAATGGACAAAGTCATTTCTCCAAGACATACAAATGGCCAATAAGCATAAAAAATTATGCTTGCCATTAATCATCAGGGCAATGGAAACCGAAACGACGAGATACGACGTCACACCCAGTGGCATGGCTAAAATAAACAAACATGGACACCAAGTGCTGGCAAGGAGGTGGAGAAATCTGAGCCCTCACACATTGCTGTTGGGATGTAAAATGTAGCACTTTCAAAGTTTAGCAGTTCCTCAAAACATTAGACACAGCTGCATTATGATCTAGTACTTTCACTCCTAGGTATATTCCCAAGAAAACTAAAAAACAAAAAAATAACTTGTACATGACTGTTTTTAACATTATTATTTATCAAAAGATGGAAAACCCAAATGCCCGCCCCCTGACAGATAAATATGTATATCCACATTTGGTATACCCATACAGTGGAATATTATTCAGCATTAAAAAGGAACGAAGTACTGATGCATACTTCATCTGATAAACCTTGAGAAGCCCATTACAAAGACCCAATATTTGTGATTCGTACATGAAAACGTCCCAACAAGTCCCAAGACAGAGAGTAGATTACTGGTTGCCACGTGCCGAGGGGAACGGACAGTGACTGTTAATGGATACACGGCTTCTTTTAGGAGTGATGTGTGTGGAAGTTAGATTTTAGTCATGGCTGCACAACCCTGGGAATACACCTAAAGGCTGTACACTTTAAATGGATTACACACGAATCATCTCTCAAAAAAAAGTTGATTTAAAAAAAAAATCCAACTACCAGATGGCCCCCCTCCTAAGCGCTTTTTAAGGGCCACCCTGCCTTGCTCTTCCACGGTGCCACCGTTCTTGCTTGTTCTAGTTTGCTTCCTCACTCTTTCTTGTAGAAGGGGGTGAAGTAATTCTTCAGACAACCTAATTTCGTGTTCTTAGTAAAACACAGTAAAAATAGAAAAAAATCCAGTGCTTTGGAAAATGTAGTACTATGCTAGAGCTCACATGTGCCTATGAAGTCAATACAAATATACAACTGGGTTCTGATTTATGTCACGTGTCTTCAGGTAATTCTAACATGTGCCCTGACTGGTGGAGTTCATTTGGTTGCGCATCATCCTGCAAAGCAAAAGGTCGCCAGTTCAATTCTGTGTCAGGGCACGTCTAGGTTGTGGGTTCAGTCCCCAGTTGGGGCATGTGCGGGAGGCAACCAGTCAATGTTCCTCTCCCTCTTCCTCCCTCCCTTCCCCTCTAAAAATAAGTATTTTTTAAAAATTTTTTACAATTCATTCCAATATGCTCAGTGTTTAAGTAACTTAATGTTTACAACAGGAACACAGGTAGACAAGGAAAAAGTAAATTTAAAATGAGCAGCTTTATACAAACATTTTACCAAAAAAAAATGTTACAACACTTAAAGGCATTCTCTGTAACTTCATCTAAGTGATCTAAGAACTGCTTTAGCAACTTCTGCAATACACGAATCGCTGCATTATATACACCTTATTTTAAGTCTTCCCTCCTTGATTTTCCCCCACTGGAAAAGAAAACCAATGCGACTCAGTACAATTCATTTTATTTTTCTAGTGCAAGAAAACATTTCTAGGTTTTTCTAATTTCAGTTTCAAAACAGACTGACCTGAAAGACACTGTTTTTAAGATCTGTCAATCACCAATAAATGTGTAAGAATATAAAAATGAACTAACTTCAAATTCAGTGCACAAGTTCTTTTCTCTCTAAAACATTTTTAAAACTTCAGAACAATCTAAAAATCTGTTCGTTTAAAATATTTGTTAAAATATTTCAATTGATTATAGGTATCACAAATAGAATGTAAAATGTATTACATTTTTCTTCAAATACCAATTCTTTCATTCTGTTCTGTTTTGTGTTTCCTAGCATCCATTCCAAAGGTTAATTGAAATCCAAATGCAGGAAAATAAAGTAGACTATTGAAATGAAACAAAACTTAAGGACAAAATTACAACGAACTTATGAGGTAATTTTTACTTTCATGTGTTCAAATATCACAGTTGTAAGAAATGCCTCTCTTTACAAAGTATAATTACAATGTATACTTTCACAGAGCCCTTATTTCTAGAGCCCAAAATCAAGTTGAAATTCCATGCTTCCTAGGATATTAAATACCATGCACCATATTTTAAAAAGTTAACTTATTCACTTATATTATGCTTTCTGCCCAATTAAAAATAAATTCATGAAAACCACTTGAAACTATGCATTTAACTTGAAATAAGTTACTAAGATTCCAACATAAATTTAAATATCTGTAATTGGCTTAATCCATCTCTCCCCAAAACAATGTATGGGGCAAAATGTTCAGAGGGATAAGCATCCAGAGTGTGTAACGGGGCACCAAGAAGCCAAGCTTCCCAGAGCAAATGCAAGGCAGTCCAGTGACTACATTCACATAACTGCTTTTCTGAGGATGAAAACTGCCTGTCGGATCTTCCTACACAACTCAGAGTTCCCAAGCCAAGTCAAAGTGGACCATCAAACTGAAATACTCCGTATTTCCCAGTGGTCAGCCAGCCGGGCTCAGAGGCTGTGAGCTGTTCACCTTGCCCAGGGTGCAGACCAACCTGAATTTCGGCTTTCAATGTTCGGACGCTGCAGAGAGGGGCAGGATGGAAGCCGTTCAAAGCCTGATGGAATGGAGTGGTAAACTCCCATTTTCTGTCACCTGTCAGCTTCCTGTAGTTCAAATCGCCTTTGAATAAAATTAACTGTGCCTTCTGTAGTTCAGCATATAGGTCAGGAGCAACTTGAGACATTGCACAGAATTCATGAGGCAGCGTCCAAAATATATGGTCATGGTAAACCCATCTGCCCATTTTAATATAGTTTTCCCAGTCAACCCCACACTTGGATACCCACTTATGATCAGAATGTTTTACTTGTTTGATTAACCAGTTAAAATCATGTATGGTAGTATCAGAAACAAACCATGGAATCGTTTTCCCATAAAAATGGACTTCGGTAGCCAATTTAGAAGACAACAAGAAGTCGGCTAACACTAAATCTGTAACAAGTTCAAACCCAGAATTATCCAGAACAATATCGACTCTACTAACAGGTACTTTTTCTCTTGTTTTCTTGTAGTTGCTAAGTAATGACCAAAGATGTTCCATGTCATTCACTAAAATGAAAGGCTTTAGGTCTTCCAAAGCATTTATTACATTGGTCTTCTGAGAATGGGTTTCCCCACCTGACAGAGACAGATCACACTTATTTCCCCACAGTGAAATCTGAAAAAGAAAAAGTAAAAACATTTACCCTTCTTTTGAATAAGTAGCAAAAACTAACATGTAGGATGTGGGGGAAAAGTTAAAAGTAATTCATAAATTCATTTCTATAAAACTCAGTATAAAATGTCTATCAAATCTACTTTGTCTAATAATGCAAAGACTATTTTACATGATGTTGTATGAAAACATAAAAACAATTAAACTTTTAATTGGTCAATATGTAGTGAACTTTAAAAACCTCATTTGAATGACTTTAATGACCTGTAGCATTTAATCAGAATGAAAGTTTTTGCATCTTGCAGATATGAGGACATGATCAGTTGCTATAAAAAGCTGCAAAATTTACTTCATAATTCAGTGTCAAGAGAAAAATAAAAGTGCCTTTTTCCCTCCTAGCTCCCCCTCCCCCCAAAACTGCCCAATTTATTTTAGTAAATCCAACCTATCTGAGATTCTTTTCTCACTTGTAAAATGGAGAGATTGGACAAGGTGATGTCTAGTCTAAAGACGCTTCCAACTCTAATAATCTATTATTCTACTTTAAATGGAAACAATATTCAAGCTTATTTTGTAGGAAATGGCATATAACCCTATTTTCTTTAAAGCTGTAACTAAAATCACATGCTGAGGAGTGCAGGCTCTGAAATCACACAGTCCTGGGTTCAAATCCCAGCATTTCCAATTAACAACCATTGGTAAATTACATATGCTCTCCAAGGCTCAGGTTGAGTTCAAGGCAACTGAAAACGGAGGTAGTAATAGCGCTCACCTCGCAGAGTCATTGTGAGAATGGACATAATGGGCGTGAGTTGTGTACCTAAGAGCTGGCATACAGAAGTACTGAATAAGTATTAGCCAGAAGAGACTCTACTCCTGCTGTGATTCAAAGTAAGAGGAAAATGCATGTTCCAGCCAAGAGTATGATTTTTAAAAGAGTAAATGAAGATACACATATATTTATATTTATTTATATAATTTTTCTGTAAGTGTAAGTCCAGCCGATGAAGAGCCCCCGGCGGCGCGGACGGCGCCCGCCCGGCGGTGGCCAGGGTCCCTGGACCTCCTGCATGCTGCCTTCACAGCGCCCGCCGCCTTCGCAGCGCCCGCCGGCCTGCAACCTGCTCTGATGTGTGCCTTTATTTGACTGATTATACGCCCTCAGCCTGCACGTTCTAGGACAGCAAAGATTGGTCTATTTTCTCACCATCACATGCCTGGCATCGAGAAGTGTGACAGAGCAGGCACCGAAATGTTCATGTGGACGGGGTGGAGTTCTATGGCTTTTAAACACATATCAACTTTCCCGCAAACTAAAACTCAGAGCCTCTTGGAGGGAGTTAACCTGCTGGTCATCACGAGCACTGATGGGGAGCAACTCCGGCCTCCTTTACTGGGGAACAGAGTGGCATTCCGGGGTAGCTGGCCGATGGAGATGACAGAAAACAGAGTGGTACTTTTTCTTCTCACAATTTATACTTACAGGACAAAGAACATGTTCAAAGATTGAAAGAATGGGCTATTAAGCGTCAAGAGTAACATGCTGCTTTTCTTTCTTTTTAATTCTAAGCTAAGCACAAAGAATAGTCCAGAGGGGGAAAGAACAACTAGGTTTATTACTCAGCCATACCCTGACACCGTTTCTTCCAAACTCAAAATAACCCTCTCCCTCTTTACTCTGCTTGCCCTACATGTTTCATCAGGCCTTTGTCCAGTCCCGCAGCCTGTCAGCGCATTCTGAAACTTCCACGTCCAAAGAAGAGCAAGAATCTCGCGGTATTTAACAACTCTATGCGACCAGCTTGGTCCAGTCATCCCGCGCAGGAGTCATTTTAATGACAGATCTCCCAGTGTCTACCCTGAGCCCCTTCACGCCGTCCTCGGAAGTAATCTTTGAAGTCGGTCATTTAATGTCACTCCTCTGATCCAAGCTCTCTGCGCTCCATTGTAGAAATCAAACCCAGTCCTTCCTTTTGTTTGCTTGGGTTCCGAGGCCCCTCCGGCGCCTCCTCTCGCCTCTCTCATTTCCTGCAGAGCCGCCCCCCAGGCTCTCGCACCCCTGACAGGCCCCGCCTCAGGGGACCTCGCCCTTCGGCCCCTCCCCGAGGCCCCGTCTGGGCGGGTGGCCCGGGGCTGCCAGGGCCCGTTCGCGGCTGCCTCCCCCTGCAGCGCTCCCGGGCCGCCCCAGCCTCACTGCCCTTCGTGGCATCGTCTAACGTCTCTTTCTCAAAATTTTTCTAGCTTTTCCTAGGAAGTGTGGGCTGGGTACTGCTGTGTAAAACCAGACATTTTCACACTAGTTCCGAATCTAGTTACATAAATTTAAAAATATTTTTAATGAGAGTTAAAAATTAAACTTACACAAAACAGCTCTGAATCTAGTAACATAAATTTAAGGATGTTCTGAATGAAAATTTAAAACTAAACTTATACAAAGAAATGTAATAAAACCATATTAAATTGGACACTTTCCACCTGATGACGACGCTCACACACTCTGTGTCCCAGGCTGTGTGCAGTACGACACGAGTGAATGCAGTGTCTCACACCGAATTATGAGGTGCTCAATACCATTCTCATTCAACAGGACGAGGAAACTAACATTCAGAGACACTGAGTCACTCGCCTCAGGTCCAACTGCAAATAAGAGGCAACGCGCGCATTCAGGCCCGAGTCAGGCTGGGCCCACCAAATGACTGTGAAGCATTCCCTCAAAAAGGACAGAAGCTATGACACCACTAAAATCACCCCCAGGTGGGGAGGAAGAGATTTCAAAACCCATTTTCAGAAATTAAATGGATTTTTCATCTCTTGAATAATACTATTACTAAAATGATAAATGATCAATTATGACTAAAATGACAAGGTATATACATGCTTTGCTGTTAAATGTGTACCAGTCTATTTTTTAACTGTTTGAATAAACAAATATGCTCAGGAGATAAATTATCATATTTACCTGAAGAAATTTAAAAAACTCATTTTTCAACTGATTTTCACTGAGGTCTTCAAGAGTTTTCATCAACTCTTGCAGGTGAGTACTTAAAGCCATGATAGGTTCCTGTGACTCGAAGAAGTTTTGCTCTTTTAATTCTTTAAATACATCAAAGTCATCGATTGGTGGACTAAAGTAAGAGAAAAACATAAGTGAAACATTTATATAATTCTGTACCTTTTTGTCACAAATTTGGGTAATTGAAATTCTTTAAAGGAAAGAGAATAGTAGCATTCAGTCTCAAAAATTACTAGTAATAGGCACTAGATATAACATAGATCAAGTTATGTCACACAGAAATAAAGTGCACAAAATCCCCTGAAGTCATTTTAATTAACTGTCAAAAGTTCCCTACTCAAATATTTTACTGGAAGTATTACGTAACTAGTGACTGTATTCATAAATATATACCCAGTAGGGCTTCCCGGGCAAAAGGAGAAAGAGAAATAAAATTTCAAGACAATTCCTTTGGTTGAACAAACATTTTTGGGGGTGTTCAATGTGGCAGTGTTCCAAGTGACATAGGGACATAAACAGAAGACTTTAATGTAACGTAGTAATCGCTCAAACGTAGCAGCATCATGGGACACAATGACTACTTAAGGTAAATCAGATAATACTAATGTAAATTTAATTGTAATGACCAATTTTTATCACTTACATGTAGATGTTTTGTTTACTTTTTTCTTTTGGCAAATTTTACTCCCAAGTTTGGTCTGACCAATGGTGATATATGTGCCATGGCTACATCTTCACATTGTCCAATGAGAGATCAAATAATATTAATACCAGCTTAAAAAAAACATAGCTAGGAAGGCATAAATACTAACAGAAGAGCCTTTTCAGAATCAACTCTGAAAGAAATTCAGATTATCTGATCTTCTAAATTAGCTACTTCTATCCTGGGGTCATTCGCCTTAGGGTAAAAACAAGATGGCTGCGTTAGGGGCTTGATGAAAAAACAAAAACATACCGGAATGCATACACCCAAAGGACTGCTGCCTCCTCCCGGTCGGTCACCTTGGGAGCGCACCCTCATCCGAGGGTGCTGCCATTGCTCAAAGCACTTTTGGAATTCCTCTTTCAGAATTTTCTTCAGAACCTGTGGCACATTATTAAACGTCCTGTCAGTGACTGCGTGTCTTCATCCTTTGGGGTTATTTTTGGAAACAGCCAAAAGTCACTCAGAGCAATTTCAGTAGAATGAGATGTGTTAATCAAATGGAGTAAAACACTTTTGGTCAAAAATGAGGAGTAACTAAAAAATGAGACTAGTATTCTTTTTGAGGCTTATAAACTGGCTCTGAAAGAAGTTCCAAAGGATTAAAAGGCGTCTTTGGCAATGGCAGCATTGCTGAAATAAATCAGTCTCTCAAGGTGACTTAAAAAGATAAAAATTAGTTGGACACATAGGTTCAAGTGCTGGGGTCAGCAAGCGACAGCTTGCAGAGCCAGCCTGGCCCACCACCTGTTTTGTATGACCTGCAAGCTAAGAATGGTTTTCCATTTTTGAATGGTTGGAAATAATCCAAAGGATACTTTGTGACACGTGAAATTAAAATTTCAGTGTCCATAAATGAAGTTTAATTGGAACACAGCCGTGCTCATTCATTGATGTGACATGGAGGGCGGCGTCTGCACTGCAGTGACAGAGCTAAGTGGCTTCAGCACAGACCATGTGGCCCTGCAGCCTAAAACACTTACTATCTGGCCCTTTACTGAAAAAGTTTGCCAACCTTTGTTCCAGGGTTTTATTAACAAATCATTCATTAAATCATTCACACCTCATATTAAGAATGAGCTTTACTTCCTGAATTTAAGAGAGAAAGCTAACGTAACTGTGCATGGTTTCTGATTTTAAAACGTTTTCTATTTTAGAATCTACGAAAGCTGCACATGTGCACACACAGTGACCCGGTGTCCACTCCCAAGTACGTGCCTAGCAGAAAGAAAGACACCCACATGTTCACCCACACATGCTTGAATGTGTACAGCAGCATTCCTCATGATAACCCAAACTGGAAACTACTCGATTACCCATCAACAACAGAATAGGTAAACAAAGTGTGACATATTCGCATACTGCAATACTATATAGCCATGAAAACGAATGGTTTACAATTATATGCAAACAATATGTCAATAGATGAAGCTTACCAACATAATGCAGAGAGAAATCAGACAACAAAACTACACTCCATGTAATTTCATTTAAATGAAATTTAAAAAGACAAAACTAACACCAATCAGGATAGTGGTTAGTTATCCTTGAGGGGCCAGACAACTCAGAAAAACTCAGACACAGCATTCATTTTGCCCTTCTAACTTCCACACTGCACTAAACCAAACTCCATTACCCAGTCTTTCAGCCCTTCAGCATCTTTGGCTAGCACAGATATGTGTCAAAATTACAGAGCTATCACCCAGAATTTCACCCTTGTTCTGACATCCACCCAAACGTACTACTTGGGAAAGGTTTGCTGAGGACTCCGATCTAATCTACACAGGCCAGGCTCGAATACTGGCTCTACCACCTACGAGTCATGTCACCCTGGGCAAGTCACTAACCTCTTCGTGCCTCCCTTTCCTCAACTATAAAATGGAAGCCATAACAACACCTACGCTTCACTGAGCTGCCGAGTAGCTGCACTGCAGGTGGTATTCAACGTGTGACAGCTACAGTCTTCTGCTTGGATGCTTCTGTGTGCCAGGCACACACTTTTAACATGTAGTATGTTTTGCTTTTAGAACAGAAGTCCTAAAACATACTTACTCAGCAAAATCAATACATTATCAATTATAAAGACTATGGCAAAAAAAGCTAATGAATAGATTCAAATTCATGCTTGTTTCCCAAAATTATTTTTTAATTTTACTTTTAGAGCTGGTTTGATTGATTGTTTTAAATTATCCTCTCTTATACCAAAGGACTGCTCTCAGTGATTCAGCAAATCTGTCTTTTTGTAACCTGTGAACTAAAAGAATGATCCACATTACATTTTCTTCTATTCTATATATCAGTTCTTTTTTTTTTTTTTCCTCTCAGTATTAAGATGACATCACTTTTAAGTTCAGTCATATGCTTGTCATTTTATGTTCATCATGGAGTGACTATATATCAGTTCTATATCAGAATTTTTTCTGATAATAAATTAAATTCGTATAGGCAAGTTTACAAAGTTATTTAGAATAGTTAACTTTTAAACTTTTTCTAATATAGCCATTAAAAAAAAGACAAAAAAAAACCCCAAAAACCAAAAAAACAGGCACTGGCCAGGTAGCTCAGTTGGTTAGAGTATCAGCCCAATTCACCAAGGTTGTGGGTTCCATCCCCAGTTAGTGTTCATACAAGAATTAACAAATAAATGTATAAATAAGTGAAACCAAAAAACTAATGGGTTTTTTTTTGCTCTCTCTCTCCTCTCCCCTCTGTAAAAATCATTAAAAGAAAGAAAGAAAGAAAGAAAGAAAGAAAGAAAGAAAGAAAGAAAGAAAGAAAAGGAAAGGAAAGGAAAGGAAAGGAAAGGAAAGGAAAGGAAAGGAAAGGAAAGGAAAGGAAAGGAAAGGAAAGGAAAGGAAAGAAAGAAGTAATCAGGGCTCAAGATTAAGAAGTGCATAAAACAACGCAGTGATTCTCTGTTCTGTTGATTCCATATACCAAACTGACATATTATCTATTTTTATAAAGTATATGCTTACTTTGTCCCGTCTTGATTTTTAAATAAGTATTTCAAATTAACATTTCTTCCTCAATAAGTACAACTTATTTTACTCTAGAAGAAAAATAATTCTGTGTAAGAATTTTTAATTAGTTCCTACTTCAGATATTCAATCTTTTGCCCAGTCTGGAATAGTGACAACATGGGCAGAGTGTCCAGCAGTGCCATTACTGTCTACCGGACCAAATTCAGGTTTCCACTGGTTTTTATTTTTAAACTTATCATCTTATAATTTCCAAAAAAAGCATAAATAATCTAAATATTTATTTGATGATTACATGCTTACCTCTGGATAACTGCTTCATGAATTCTACGATACATGTAGCATTCCACAAACAACCATGGCGAGTGGAACCACCTTGGTTTTCCATCACTTTCATTTAAAAGACTCTGCTGATATTCTAGGTACTGATTCCATATGTCAGTATCAGCAAACTTCTCAACCAACGGGACAATTGGCTTGTCTGTTTGTAATTCATTCCGCAATTTAGAAAGAAGAGAAATAGCTTTCTTTTCAGCTTCCATGCCCTTCTGCAGAAATATGGAAGAAACATTTCTATATTTAAAAATATATAAATAACCTACATATAAATACTTTAGATATAATATACAGATAAACGATTCCTCTAAGGTAACACATTTTTATGGACCTACACTTAAGAAAAAAAAAATACTGTATTACCTAAATTTTATGTCTTCACAAATTATTATAAACATTTAAATTTAGAATCTTTTAGTCCTGGCTGGTGTGGCTCAGGGGATTGAGCACCAGCCTGCAAACCAAAGGGTCGTTGGTTCAATTCCCAGTCAGGGCACAGGCCTGGGTTGCAGGCCAGGTCCCCAGTGGGAGGTGCATAAGAGGTAACCACACACTGATGTTTCTCTTCCTCTCTTTCTCCTGCCTTTCCCCTCTCTCTAAAAATAATAAATAATTTTTTTAAATGGAGTCTTTAAAAGATTTTATTTACTTATTTTTAGAGAGTGGGGAAGGGAGAGAGAAAGAAGAAACATCGATGTGTGAGAGCAACATCGATCAGTTGTTGCCTCTCAAATACACCTCAATGGACGACTGAACCACAACCCAGGTATGTGTCCTGACCAGGAACTAAACCAGCCAACTTTCACGTTGGGTAAAGAGGCCCAACCAACTGAACCACACAGGCCAGGGCTACACTTAGCATTCTTAAGTTTAAAATCAAAGTACATACCCAGATACATCAACATTATCCTGCTTATCTATTCTGTCTTTTTTTTTTTTTTTAAGGTTTCATCTTATCTTTAAGAGTCCTTTCATTATCTACACGTGAAATGACCATTATCACAGAGGGGAAACTGCTTACCATGTTACTGTTAAAGATTTGAGAAAATAATTAAAGTTCAGATAATTTCATACCTCTCCATGTTTCTCAAAAAATTCACCTTTATGTCGATGCAATGTGTCAATAGCCTTGGTTAAGATCTGTGGTATTCTGTCTTTAATTGTAAGATAGGCAAAGGATCTAGGAGAGAGACACAAACATGAAGTGTTACTTAGTAGCATTAATACTAGAAGATGGGTCATCTTTCAGTTTCTGAATTATCTAATTTAAATTAAAATTCCTTTCATACAAACATTATAAGGAAAACCAACATTGTCTGGTTACTGTATTAAGACATAGGAAAATCTGAAAACTTCTGGGGTATGTCATCAAAGCCAAGCAGTCTTTGTGACTCTAATCCCAGATCCTCCCCTGGAGTTCGTTAAATAGGCACCTTTCCTGTTTCATTCCCTTTATTTTCCTTAATTGGAAACTGGTTTTCAGGATGTGATTAGGACAGAAAGAGAATTGCCCTAAAAATCAAACAGTCTCTTCCCATGTCAATTACTAAATGACATCACCTGCTTAGAAAAATGAATGAGGCAGTGGCTGTAAAAGGGCCTGGAGGACTCTACTGTGCTAGAAAAACATAAACACAGACATGTAGGAACCTGCTTCTTTTCTTTACTCTCTCTTAGACCCTTTTAATTTTCAAAGGCTTTTCCTGCTGCCTTCTCTTCCTGAACAATGACTCCTTCCGTCCTGTTTTGTCCCTAAACAAAATCAAGGCATTTTAATAGCTCACATTCCTAACCAAAAAAAAGTGATTTTTCTAGAAGTATCAAAGAAAGCTAAAGATAAGGAAAAACTTAAGTATACTTGCATTAAAAAAAAAAATTAACAATAGTACTGTTTTTAGACATACAAAAACCAAGATTTACAGATTATTTAAATGTAATTAGTTTTTTTAGGAAAACAGAGCATATTAAGTGGTGAAATTCTGTGCAGATTTTTAAATAGGACGAAACTTAGCTGATCCTTTCACTTCTATCTTCAGATCATCAGAGGCAAAATATAAATAAAGTTAACACAATTAATTTTGAAAACGCCTCTGCCTAATCACCTACTCCAATTTTAACTTGGGATCAACACACATATAAAAACTCAAATATTTTACTGAAGTTTTAAAAAATTATTGCGTTATACCCTGAGTTTTTCAAGAGGTTTCCTCAAATGATAGCTATAAATTTATAAATAGCAAAAACAAAAAATCACGAAATACTGATTTTGTGGCATTTGAGTAACCTAAACAGTAATTAGGTTTTAACATGTGTAATTACTATTGTGAATTTAACCTTTAAAAATCACTACTTATTCCCTGAAGGAAGAGTAGGAATATGAAATGAATCGACACTTCAATTTTCCAAGGCAGCCGATACAAAAAGCCGTGACAGTCCTTGGAAGACTACGACACTGGAAAGTGTGTATTGCTATTTTTCCAGCTACTAAACTTCCTCAGAGGCTTGTACTCTGGGACAAGGTCCCAACCGGGTCAGGACATTACTGTCAATCCAGAGGGGCCTGGGGTCAAACTTTAAGCAAACACTCCCTATATCTGCCCGACCTGAGTGCCTGCTTAAAATTTTGGGCCACCAAGTACTAGCCTCAATCTACTCCCGGTCAAGTCACTTTAAGAATTCTTCTGTTTCGCAATGTTTTGGAGCAAGGACGTATCTCAGATATAAATTTGGCCATTCAATTTATACAAATGGGTATTTTTTTACGTTGATCGACACGATGTCTACAATACAAAGTGCATGTCTTATAGTGGGGTTATGAATCTGATCGGCAACAGAAGGAACGTATTTCCCGACAGATCTGAGATTCCTATCTTTTACAGAGAATTTTAACACCCCTCCCCCCAAAATGCGTTTATTGAAACATGGAAGCCATGCTCTGCAATACCCAGAAAGGGGGCAAAAGTGGCATAATAAACTCTCAAGGGAATCAAGCGGGATTAAAAAAGTATCAAACCACTTTAAAGAAAAGGAATTGTCCAATACAAATTAATATTAAACGCTTAAACTGCAGGGAGAGGTGGGATAACAGGAGAATTTCAGCCCGGTCTCCAAGCCCGTGCCCGTGCCAAGGAAAAGACCACGAAATCACCCCAAGAAAGATGATGCAACGCCGATCCAAGCCTGGAGTGGGGCGAGTGGCCGCAGCCGGGAGACTCATTTCTCCGCCTGCCTCGCCCCTGCGCGAGTCGGCAACCCCGAGCCGCCGCCCCCGAGAAGGGGAGCCCGAAAGCAGAATCAAACTCGCAGCCGGCGGCGAGCGGGCGCCGTCCCGCCCGCCGCGGCTTCCCTGCTGTTTACCCACAGCTTCCCCGCGAGGCCTGGCTTTTCGAAAGAGTGGGGACGAGGTAAAAAAGGAGCCGAGGGACTGAGCGAAAAAAGCGACACAAACCCTACGTCCTGTCCGGAGAGAGACGCCGGAGGCCCCGCCATCACCTTCCGCGTTCCCGGCGCCAACGGTTGGGTCTCCCCGGCCGCTGGATGAGAGGCGGTGCGGGCGAGGAGGAGGAGCTGGGGAAGGCAGGGACCACTATTTTTTAAAAAAATGCTTTTGAATAAAGAAACTTTATTCGGTGCCCGTGGGACAAACAACGACCGGCTTGAGGACTTGGAGATCTTCCGGGGACAAAGGCGGGGACAGCGCAGGGCTGCAAGAGAAGCGGAACGAGAAAAGGGGGCGGAAGGCGGAAGCAAGCAGGAACCGGGAGGTCCCAGAGACTAGGGAGCGGAAAAGGTCACGGCGGCGCAGGTCACGTTGTCTGGAAGTCACGTGGACAGGACGGCGCGCGCTCCTCCGGGCCCAAAATTCTTTGCGCCTGCGCACTGCCAGGCGCCGGGAGAGGTCCCAGTGCTGGATGTGAGTACCTGTGGGGAAGGCGACGCCGCTACCGCAGCCCTGCCTTTTCTCGGCAGCCAGGCGGCGGAAGCTCGCGCCTTACGCGCGTCCCTCATCTCTTCCTGCGGCGAGGTTAGTGCACTGCCTTCCCCTAGCAATTTGTGTGGCCCTGCACGGTGGTCCCCCGCCTTGGCGCCTGCTCGCCCGGAACCTCTCGCGTCACAGGTTCAACGGGACCTCTGTGGTCCCCTGCCGCTGACAGTGATCTTTGGTCGACCTAGCTGGAAGTTAAAAGCACTCAGTCCACAAACACTTACGAAACGCCTTCGAGCCAGTGTATAGCGGTAATTGGAAAGGTAATATACCCGAGTTTAAAGAATTGGAAGATATGTTCCCAGAGATTAGCGCCACTTGGCCATTGAATCGTAAACCAGCTGATACTGTTTTCTTAGTGGAAAATGCGCCCAAGAACTGAGTAGTTGCTTTGTATTTCATACCAAAGAAAATATGAGTTGAATACCTGTTGTGTGCTGGGCACTGTGGTTACAGGAGACACGGCATGAACCAAAGGGAAATCTCAATTCTCAGAAGCTCAAAAGGGAGAGAGACAAATCTATCCCTTCCTCTTCTATTTTTCCTTCTGGCATTGTCACTATTTACTATATATTGTGCTGATTTACTGTGTTTATTGTCTGTTAGCCCGGCGTGATGTAAGGTTCAAAAGGTAGGGATTTTTGTCTGTTTTCCTGTATTTTCAGCATATAGGACTGTGTCTACTGCATGATCGAACTCAGTTCACATTTGTTGTAGGAATTAACAAATTAAAAACACTAGGTATACGAGTGATGTTAAATGCAATGGAGAAAATATAAAGGGGAGGAAAAGAGAGAGTAGCTGCTGATTTTGCGCTTTCCGTGAAGTGGACCGTGAAGGCCTCGCTAGGTAGGAGACGTTGAGCCAAAGCTTACAGATACCTGGGAGAAGAGCTTAAGGAACAATGCGTGGAAAGATCAGAGGCCAGGGTGACTGGAGCAAAATGAGCAAGGGGAAGAGCTGTTGATCTTAGAGTGATAAAGATCCAGAGAATGCTGGGCCACACAAACTATTTTAGGGTCTTTGGCTTTTATTTCAAGTGAAACACGAGGCCGTTGTCAGCTTTTGTACAAAGGAAAGATGTGATCTGACTTAAGTTTTCAAAGGATCACTTTAGTTGCTGTTTTGAGAAGAATCTGTAGGAGGCCAAGAGCAGGAGCAGGGAGGATAAGACTGGGTACTATTACAACAATATTTGGAAAACATAGCCACTTGGACCAGAGTGGTAGCATTGTTGATGATAAGAACTAGTTGGAATAAAACCAGTGGAGTTTGCTGTTAGATTGGGTGTGGAGAGTGAATAGAAGAGTTAAGGTGGCCTCCAGATTTTGGGCTTTAGCAAAGATACGGGTGTGATTGCTGTTTCATGAATGGGGGAGACTGTGGAAAGAATAGGACTTGTAGGAAGATTTCGGCAGCTGACCCTTGAGCATGTTACATTTCTTATGTGAATGAGAGTAGAGAGGAATATTTGATATTCATTCATGTGTAAGATGATACATGAGACCATGAGATTGGGTGAGATCACCAAGAACTGAGAATAGAGAACTGGACCAAATAATGAGCCTTGGCTTATTCCACTTCTGAGGGGTTGAAAAACCAGCAAGAGACCAAAGGTGCAACCAGTGTGATAGGTAAGTGGCCAGGGTGGTCTCCTAGAAGCCAAGAAGGTGCTTTCAGGAGGGTGGAGTGATTACTGTATCAGATGTTGCTGATGGGCCAGGTAAAACAAAGACTGAGAAGTGACCATTGGACTGAGGAATATGGAGGTTGTTGGTGGCCTTGGCAAGTGGGTTTTGGTGGAGTGGTAGGAACGAAAGCTTGATTGGAGTGGGTTTGAGAAAAATCAGACATGAGGAGTTGGAGAGAGCAAATAAAACGCCTCTAGAAGGGAGCTCAGAGAGAAGGTATAGCATGTGGAAGGGAAGATGGAGTCAGGAGAGTTGTTTTTTATAAGATGGAAGAAATTACAGCATATTTGTATGCAAATAGGAGTGTGCCAGTGAAGAGGAGAAAACACATGGCATGGAAGCCTAATTCCTCCTGTAGGCAGGAAAGGGTGCAATTCTGTGTGCAGATCAAGGACGTGGCTCTAGATGGAACAGCAGAAGGGATGAAAAAGTCTTTGGGCACAGAAGCAATAGGTGGGCAGGTGGTTGATGGGGGAGAGCTTGTGGAAGTTCTCTGTTTTGTCAACCGAGAAGGAAGCAAGGGCATTATTGGGAGTGAAAAAGGAAGAGGAGGCCTTGAAGGTACGAGGAGAGAGGGGTAGAATATGGGCGGGACACACAGTTTTAAGATTGTTGAGCAGCATGAAAGGCCCACCTGAAGTGAGTGGTCATGAGTTTAAAGTAAGCCCAGAGGGCACGCACAGTTGGTTGGTTAGTTGGTTGTCTGGGTCTCTCCAGCCGTGTTCAGCTGCAGGAGCCCAGGCACAAATTAGGTGATTTATATTTAATTCAGATTGAAGTTATGTCATGTGGGTATGTGGCAGAGAGAGGGGTGCAAGGGATTCGGAGTATGTGGGGGAGAGAGATTATAGTCGTAGGCCATGAAATACAAACTGGGTGTGGAAGAAATGGGGGGTGAGGGATGGTGAGAAGTAGTTGGGTCATCAAATTGCAGGTCCTATTTGTGCTGAAGAATGGCTGGAATCGGGTAATAGAGGACGCGAACGTGGAAGATCGGAGGCGGTGTTCGGAGAGCAAGATGCTTGAAATTGGGACCGTGAGGTTGCGGTTGTTGGTGTTGGCAAGGCCTAGAGCAGCACTGTCCAGTAGCCGCGCAATGCAAGCCATGCGTGGAGCAAGTTTTCTAGAAGCTTTAAAAGTAAAAATAAATGGATACAGTTGATTTATTTTTTCATCCATTATGTCCCAATCCCAATACATCTAAAAATATTATTTCAACAAGTAATGTAAAAATTATTGAGATAGTTTACTTTTTGCATTAAGTACAGGGTTGGGCAAAAGTAGGCTTACAGTTCATATAGAAAATAGGATAATAATTAATAAATAATACAAGAATAATTTCTGTTTCACATACAACTGTAAACCTACTTGTGCCCCACGCTGTATGACATACAGTGTACGAGAGAAAAATTTTCTTATTTTATTGAGCCACATTTCAAGGGCTCAATAGCCACCTGTGCCCAGTGGCTCCTGTACAGCTCAGAGCATATGAGCCTGAGATGTGTTCTAGTTTTTAACAAAGCCTGAGTATTTTTGTGTGTTGGATGCCTTAGATGCTATACCTCTGTCTTTCTCAGCAGAGATAGAAAACACACTTCTTGTTTGTCCTGGAGCTTTTCCTTCCTTTGTCCTGTGCTTCATGTAATCTCCCTATGAAGATGATCTTTAGAGTTTGGAGGAAGAATTTCCTAGAAGAGAGTGATCCACTGGTCCCACTGGCAGGGAATAGTACTAATTAAAGGTGAAGTAATAGCTTATTGGACTTGACTAAAACACAGGATTCCAACTTGTCAAGCAAGATATTTTGAAAGCAGCAGGTTCTATCTCCCAAGAATCACTGTGACTCATCCTTGCCATCTTCCTTCTAAGGGAAGGTGGTACAGTTCCATGGTTACAAGTGTTGTGTTTGGAATTGGACAAGCCTATGTTTTAATTACATCTCTGCAACTTACTGACTGTGACCAGTAAGCCCCTCTCAGCCTCAGTTTCCTGACCTGGGAAATGCCTTCTAGGATAATTGTGAGGTGAATCAGAACACTGTTGGGTAGAAGGTTCTCAGGGAGTGATGTCTTAGCCTCTCTCCGTTCCTCTTCTATGTCGATACCAAAGATACATTTCTCAGACATTCCTTTGACCATGGGAGTCTCGCATTTGAGACTCTGACGTCCCCTACCTACACAAACTCTTCAGGATTCCCTATGATCTGGCCACTGGCTCCTCTTCAGTCCTGAGCTCTTAGGCCTCCCCTGAAATTGGCACTTGTTTATCAGGTAAACAAGACTCTGCCCCTCGGGTGTTTGATTTGCAGATTCCTCTGCCCTGTTGAGACCCAGTTCAAATGTCACCTCTGAATTTGTGCTGCCCACCTTTTACCCCCGATGCTCGCTTCTCTGGGCCCCACAGCAATTTGTATTATAGATACCTCCGTTTTAGGGCTCATCACATTAGTCTGTCTGTTTCCCCTGCTAGTCTGTGAATTCTGAGATCATTGATTCATACCTGAATCCCCAGCACCTAATGTGGGTTTTTTTTAAAGAATTATTATTATTTTTTTTTTAAGATTTTATTTATTTTTAGAGAGGGGAAGGGAGGGAGATAGGGGGAGAAACATCAATGTGTGGTTGCCTCTCGATCGCCCCATACTGGGGACCTGGCCCACAACCCAGGCCTGTGCTCAATCCACTGAGCCACACTAGCCAGGGCAAGAATTATTATTATTAATTGCCTACCACAGGTTTACTTTTAAAGACCAAATTACTTTATTCTCTGAATAAGGAGAGAAATTACTTATACATGTTTCCTTTGTGTGGAGAGTGTGTGTGTGTCTGCCTGTCTGATGTCTGGTACACCAACTGCCATGCCCACCCCCAGCCAGGAAAGCAGCTTCCCCTTCACGTAGCAGCTTAAATCTTCCTGGGAGCCTTACCTGACACTCCTTGTAGAATTGGGCAAGCTCTGTGTGTGTTTCCTCAGCTCCTCAGGTACAGGTCTTCGGTGGGGCCTTTTCCCTTGAGTTACAATGAGCAGTTGAAAATTCCTGCCGCCTCCAGGAGACCATTGGCACCACGAGGGCAGGGACCCTGTCCTTCCCTGGAAGGATGCCTGGCCCTGGCTCATTGTTATCTCCTTGTAAAGGCTGAATACGTTTTGAATAAAGGAATTTATGAGTAGAGGTTTTATAAAATAGATATGCTAATGATGTAAATGAAGAGTTCTCATCGCTCTCTGTTTATTAAGGTCCTTGTCATGTCAATAGCTTTGTAATCCTGCAGTCTTCCAAAAAGAAGGCCAAAGGAAAAGTGGCAGAGCCCTGGCTGGTGTGGCTCAGTGGATTGAGTGCTGGCCTGTGAACCAAAGGGTCTCCAGTTCGATTCCCAGTCAGGGCACAAGCCTGGGTTGGGGGCTAGGTCCCCGGTGGGGGGCCTGCAAGAGGCAGCCACACATGGATGTTTCGCTCCTCTTTTTCTCTTCCTTCCCCTCTCTCTAAAAAAAATAAAATCTTTAAAAAAAAAGAAAAGTGGCAGAAATACTTGTATATATTTTTTAACCTTGTTGGGGTTTTTGTGTTTTGTTTTTTGCTAGACTTAGGTTAAAATGTATCTGTTTTGCAGATACTTTTACAGAAATAGACCTATTACCTAGGAAAATAGGTATTTTTATTGTTGAAACTGTTACAGATGTTCCCTTTTGACCCCCTTTATTATTTGTTTTTTGAAACTTTTTTAAAACTTCGTCTTTGAATTTTTCTTTTAGCTTGGGATGTGGTCATGACAGCCAGACTTCTCAGAGCCCTGGCCGGATCTCACTGTATTTTGTCAAAAGCATGTCAGTGCCAAGGAGCCGTTCATCGAACAGGAAAACCACGTAAGGAATTTGAGAGTGCAGCACGGGTTACCCTGACAAGAAGTCAGAGCTTGGATTTGTTCTTTCCTGATGCAGCAGCTGGTAGTCTGAATAAGCCCCAGATTCTGGAAATGAACCAGAACGTATCAAACACAAACATATTCTCTGCACTAAATGCTGCATATCACCAAGATGAACAAGCACGCCTTCCAGCCAGGAAGTCGGGTACTCACCAGAAAGTGACTCACAAACCAGATCTATTAGGTCTTAAGTGGTGTATAAAAATATCAGAGAGGCATTATTCATCGACATCAACAGAAACACTTGTTTCTAAACAAGACTTTCCGCAAATCAAGAGACCACTAAAAGCATCAAGGACCAGGCAGCCATCCAGGACCAACCTTCCAGTTCTGTCTGTGAACGAGGTAAAAATGCATGGCGGGGGCCCCTCTGTTCCCTAAAAATAGTCCACGCTCAAGCTATAGATCACACACAGCCTTACCCGTGGGCAGAAGAGAACTAGCGACCAACCAGCTCTGCTGTTTCTTCATCCAGATCTTCGAGGCCACATAGTAACACTTGGTCTATCCAAAGGGAGTCAGAAGCTTAATTTTAAGAATTCCTGATGCATATAATATAAAGATAAAATATAGGCAATTAAGTGTAAAAATATAGTTTATGCAAGACTTAGTTATTAAGGAGACTGAAAAAGAAGACTAGTATTAAATCCAGTCTAGGAATGGTGCTATTAAAAAAACACCCATTTGAGGGAAAAAAGTCAAACTGTGGAAATTGTTTATTAAATTGACAATGATTTTTTTAGCAGCTGTGCAGACAGGTAAGCATTCGTTAGTCCATGGGCTGGGAGGTAAATGGCCTGGCGAGGTCAAATCAAGGAGCAGGGGAAGGTTTTGCCTTTTTATTCTTTGACGGCTGAAGGGGGTATTTTCATTCACTTTTACAAGCTATATGGGAATTTGTCAGCTATACTCACAGTTCCCCTCTAAATGATAAATATTTAGAGTCAGGATTGAGCCCTTTGTTAACCTTCTTATCTTACATACTACCTAGAACTGTGCCTTGTACTTAAAAAGTGTTTATGAAGTCGGAAAGGATGGAAAAGAGGCGAAGGGATTTTTATGTCTGTGTTCCTCAACATTAAAAAATGGAAATGTGGAATATTCCAAACTTGATCAGGCCCACTCAGTCTGTCAGCAAACAGGCCAGCACGCCTGTCTGCCAACCTCGATTCTGGGTAGTCCCTAAGCATGTTTAATTTTGTTGGGGTTTTTTACATCTTTTGAAAAGATGTGCAGACCATCATTACTCATCTTCAGGTTATGAAGTTAGCCATCGATTGATGGTTTTTTTTACTTTGGATTCTGGGTTTATTGAAATTCTTGTGTGGTTTCTCTGAGCCCAGGATATAAAGGATGGGAGAGTTGCATGGGACTGCTCTCGCCGTTCCTTCTTCCTAGCTCCTGATTTTTTTTTTTTTATTGTATTGTTTAGATTTGTGATAGGCTAGGAAGTTCAGTATCTAAGTGACTGAGATGAAAGTACACGTAAAAACCCTAACTGATAGCACGTACAAAAGGAGGGAGATCGACTCCCCGTTTTCTTCTGCTCCACCCAGCAGCACAGAGCGTAGCCAGGTTTCCTGTGAAGATGCAACAAGGTCAAAGATGCCACTTTTTTGTGTAGTTGTCCGCTGTAAACTATCGAAGAGGCATTATTCCTCTGGGCCGTCCTTACCTGTGGAAGCAGTTTTTCTCAATTCCATTTTTTATTTTTCTTTAGGACTTTTTTTCTGCTTCGCAGAAAGGATTTTGAAGTAGATTTTCAAAATTTAATACAGTTTCAAATGAGATGATAAAAACATTACATTTACAATAGAGCAAACAATCGACATGAACAGAGAAATGAATGTTATCAAGGACCTGGTATAAATAACTCACTCAGTTAAACATGTGGTTTCCGAGAATCCCAATGATTAAAGAAAGGAGGGAATCCTCCTGGGTTATGTATTTCTTGTTGTCTGTCGGGGGAAAAAAAAGAAAAAAACATTAAAATATCTCATGAGAAATAACTTCCTCTATCACCAAATTTAAGGAGTCATTTCTATCTGGAGTCCTTTATGTAGGAGAGATTATGTCACATAATAGATGTGACCTCAGTTGGCGTTTTGCAAAAACAGAAAAATTATGGTGTCTCTCTAAAAGCCCAGGAAAATAATAGACAAACTTACATTTCTGAAAGCCTTTCCAAAGTGATCTGAAGTCATATAATTTTGGACCGTTATTCTCTGATGATGTTACCTTTCATAGCTGAACGCAGTCTTGAGATGTGACCAGGCGCTCTGTCCCGGGGACTGCGGGCGGGCGTCTGACCGCCCCACGTGCAGGACCCCTCCGTCCTCTCATGGGCATCATGGGGCTCGCGAACCCTTTGTGGAGCAATAGCCCTTTCTGCCCCTCTGGACTGAGACGGGGAGGGACTGACCTGTGCACCGAAAAGCAGGCGTGATTTGTCTCATTCCCCACAAGTGCTCCTGAGCTCACCCGCCTTCCTCAGCCACCCAGCACGTGTTCAGAAGCATCGGGAGGAGGTTTGCCCCCCGCCACCCCGCCCTGTCAGAATCAGCTCTGTCTGGTCCTATTGGCAGAGATTGTAACCCGCTGAGATACTCAGCCCCCAGGCACTGTCTCGTAATTTATCGCGGCGACTCCCGTGCTGCCTGGCATGTCCTGTCTCGAGTGCCCGAGCCCAGCCTGAGCAGGGGGCTGCTGCACCACATGGGGTGGTTTGCCCATGGACATCATGGAGTATTGTAAATTTAACAAGTGGGTTGTTAATTTGTTTTTAATGTAACAGAACAGAAGGTATAGGAATGCCTTACAAATGGTAAAGGTAAATACTGTTTGGGGAAGCTTTGGGTCAGTTCTTGGTGTGTGTACATATATGTATATATGCACTGTGTATATGAAAAGATTTCTCACCATAGGTTGCAGTCAAAAAGCTTAAAACTAAAGCAGTATACCAGTAACATAAAACATTCACCTGCAATCTCTATATAACAGGAAAGGCATGCGTTTCTCCCTTTGTAACATACAGGCAACATCGCTGTAATGCACTGATGTTCTTCAGCAATAGAATGTGGGGAAAAAAACCTTCCCTTTTTAAGAGAAGTGTTCCATCAGAGTGTGTGATGCTCTAAAACGAGAATCATGTATAGATTTCTAGCCCCATCTGCTGGAATGTGTCTTCTGTGGCCAGGGGGAAAAAAACATGTACTGAAAACACTGTGGTTTTCTTGGCTTTGGGTTGTTTTTTTTTTTTTTTTTTTTTGACATTTTAAAATAGAAAGGCCTAAATTTAATTCTTAAGTTCAATGACTATTTTTGGTTGGTTTGGCACATCTATTTAAGAACAAGTTGTTGACCCCATTTTAAAACCTGAATTGGTGTCATGTGTGTATATGTATAAAATGCTTAATAAATAATTCACTATAAAAACTAAGAAAGACATGTATGAAAATGAAAAGCTTCTCACAAAGTAACACCACCTTTCATTAATAGGGGGAAAAAATGCAAAGACAAGATGCTCCATTGTCCTCTTTTCCTTAACTAGAGGGATTTTTTTTTTAATTGTTCAAATACATTTGTCTCCACTTTCCCGCCACCACTTTCCCCTGCCCCACCCACCCCCACCTTCCACGCTCAATCCTTCCCCACTTTGGCTTTGTCCATGGGTGCTTTACATAATGGATTTAAATACAGTCTTGAAATTTAAAAGCAAAAGAAAGAAAACCATACAACAGATATGTCAACCAAGTCAAATTGAAAAGCTTTACGAATCATTTATTAATGGAAGCAGCCATAACTTAAACAGAGATTCAGATTCAAGTCTAAGGAGGATACAGAAAGTAATGTGATAAGCCATATATGCCATGTGACGTTGGCTGGAACTTTCAGCCAAACTAAATAGGACATGGTAAGAGAAGGAAATGTGAGAATCTTCAGAAAATCTGCAAAGCAGATCCTTGGAATGGCTAGGTGAAAAACAGATTGTGTTTTGAAATTTATTTATAATCTGACTATTTGGAGCTCCGAATAAATTTTCTCGTGGAAGTGATGGTTAAATGCTTTGCCTTGCCTCATTTTTTGAGAGCGCAAAATAGCATAGATTTTCAGCACAGCTGGGCCTGGTCAATGTCAAGGGTGGCGGGGTGAAGCAGGTGAGACAGTGGGGAACGGGAGGGACCGTGTTGTCTGGAGAACCCCAGCCTCGTCCTCAATCCTAGTCTGTCATCCACTTGATCAAAAGCTGGTGGATTTGGTGTGAAATTGCTATTTATTATTGATAGTTAATTCAGATCTTAAAAGCACTATGTGAGTCGCCACTTGAGTTGGGTAGTTCTCCAGGTGGCAAGCTTACAGTTCTGATTCTGGAGACAGCCGGGCTCTGCCATTTCTGGCAGGTAGGAAGAGCTCCTCCCCTGGTAGCTCTCCACCTTCTCGTGACGCCCCGTCGTCGTCTTGGTGTCTCCTGCTCATCCCACTACAGCCCAAACCAAGCGTGGCAGCCTAGTCAGTCGCTGAAGTCATTCTGACATGCTGCCTGACGTACTGTGCTTTTGCTTGGCAAGCTTCAGGAAATTTGTCTAGTCTTCAAGAGCAGGGCCAGCCAACTGCGGCCTTCCTCACCTGGTCCAATGTCTCTCATCAGGATTCCTTTCTGTCAGCAGCTCAGTCCCACTTCCTGTCAGCTCTTTTTAACTTTATGGATCCTTAAAAGAGCAAATAGCACTAGCAGTTCCAAACCTGAAGCACATGACTAATGGACCAGTATGCCCCAGGAACCGTACTTTGGCTGCCTGGATCCATGTGATCACTTTCCTACCTTCATAGAAATCAGCTTAACGGGAAAAGGAGGGTGCTACATGCACTCATCCTCACATTGAACAGCCACTTCCCCTGTGTGGCTGTTAATATTTTTAATTGTATTACAGTTGTTTTTCCTATGAGTAGGTATTTGATCACGTTTAGATTTTTCAACTTGTGAGTATCCTCAGGTCCTCTGGTAATTCCTCTGCTACTTTTTGAACCACACGTTAGGGCTGTGTAGCAGATTGAAGAAAAGGCAAAGCAGGGTTAGGCTATTTCTTGAGAAAGGGCCAAGAGTTGCAAAAGTGGGAGGAAAGAAGGAATTAATGTACTACTTGTGAATTTCGCTCTAGGAATGGAACAGACCGGGAAAGGATTTAGGAGCTAAGATGAGTAAATCCCAGGAATAAATTTTGATTTAGTGACTCACAAACCTCTTTTGACCAATGATGGACCAAAGCACCATATAGATCAAAAGAATAGAATCACTAATGTTCTATCAGCAGATATTAAAAACAAAATTATTAATGTGAATATTCAGATGTCAGTTACTTGACAAACTTTAATCTCCCATAAATTTTGAAGGTTTAATAACTGTAATCTAAGAAATGTTGAATATTTGTGCCAACTGGTTCTAAGCAGTTGTCATTTATCAGGTTGTTTAAACTACACAACCCTAAAAAGTAGGCATTATTGTTATTCTGATTTTTTTTTAATCAGTCTGTGCATGAACTCTTAGCAGCTGTGGCAATAGCTTTTGAATCTTATAGACAACATTCCAAAGTGAGAAACATGTACATAGTGACTATATATATACACACACACACATATATATATATAAAAGACATAGCTGAGTGACAGAAAACTTCATAAAATGTATACTCACTATGAATAATGTACTCGTATTTTTTTAAAGCTTGTTTGAGCCACTAAACTGATACCAGGACCCACTAATGGGTTGTAACTTGCACTTGACAAAAACGCTGCACTGTGACGTATTCCCGTCCATGCGGGGGCTGTATGGGCAGGAACCATGGATGTCTCTGCGCACACAGGAGACTCAGCGGGAACCAAAGCACTCGCCAAATCTGGAGGCGTTCTCAGACTGACAGAACTTTTTGTTTAATCAAATCGACTGGGGTAAAAGTTTGGTCATTCCTCTGCAGATTTACAGTAATGTCTGCTTGTACAATGCAAGGCTAGTGACCAGCTGTTAGGTGACCTTAAATAATGTTGCTGTGAAAAATAGTCGTGGGCCCTCAGAGGTGGAGAGACTTTTGAACAGCATTTCATCCGGGCGCCCATATGATGTGATGCCTTCATCCTCCGTAGCTTTTGCTCGGTCTGTGCTTGCAACGCTAGCCGTCGGGCAGCGGCTCCCCTTTCAGGAAAGCCTGTTGGGCCTTTTTGGCTGGCAGGAGCAAGTTCTTTCATAGATTCAGCTACAGCCTATCTTCCTGTTGCTACTTTCTTCTCGTCCTTGATATACCCCTTGCATGAGCCTTTAAGATGTTTGAAAAAATTGCCAGCTTTGCAAAACGGAGGCCTGTGAAGTGACAGCAGCCTTCGCAGCCACTGCAGCCACTTGCTAACCCGTCCATGCCAATCTCGCTGAAACAGGACCTGATGCAGTGCACAGCGTTTGCAACCGCGGATGAATACCACCTTGGCCCCCTGTCTCAAGACCTGAGCGCTCACGGATATGTTGAAGTCACAAGCTTGCCTAGAGGTACATCTTGAACCTGGGGCCAAGTATGTTAAAATGCATTAGAAAATAATTTTCCTATGACACTGCCTAAAATATGCATTTGCTTAAATTTCATTTTCTGTTTAAGGGATTGCTTCATAAAAATGGTGTTCAACCTCTTCGTACAAATGGCCTACAAAGATAAAATTTATTTATAGAGAACTTAGTTCTCAGATTAAAATCAGTAAGATCTATTAAGCTGTATAGCAACACTCTTTGCTCTATACTCATTCTTGGGATGATCAAAGGCCATGACGCTTCATTTCTGTCGCATTAAAAAGTTGTTTTAGTATTACTGAAGCACCAAAAAGTTGGTCAAAATGTTGGGGAGAGCCTTTTAAGAAAAATTTACCACTACAATCCAATACTTTAAGAAAATTAGTTAAAAGATAAACACAATACTAAAGTGAACTTAACTGAGGATATTAGAATAGTATCAGGAAGGATTCTTGAGAAAATAGCCTACATTATATTAAAAAATAAGTAACTTGGAACCCTTTCATAAAAATTGATGAACTACCTCAAAGTAGCAAAAACAGTAGGTTGAAAACCCTCCCGCTACAGAGGAAATTCTTAAAAGTCATTAACCCCAAGAAGAGTCGAAGTCATTATGTCTTTTCAGTCTTGATGATCTAAACAGACTGTTCGATTTGATGGCAAAAGCAGACCTAATTGACTTAGTAAAGCGGAGCTGTGTCCAGGGCCCCTGAGATGGAAAACTGTCCCTGGCAGCGGGGCAGGACGGCCTGCGCAGGGCACAGCTCGGGGCTCCGCGGGCCGCTCTCCGCGGAGCCTGCCGTTTCTGCTCCTGTTGCTCTCTCTCTCCTGCTTGGCGGGCCTCGCGCTCTGCGGGGCTCAGCGGCGTTCGAGTTCCCCAAGGAAAGGTAGCTGAGGGTTTGGTCTCGATCCCCGTTGCCCAGCCTCTACCAGGAATTCTGAAATGTTGAGGATCCTAATCTTACGTTAAGAAATTATATCTACTTTTTTACATATTAATATTAGTATGTTTATTAATTGACATAATGACATTTATAATTTATATTATAGACTACTTATATACTTATAACAAATACTACTATACTATTATATAGGTAGTTTCTTATTGAGTATTTGTATATTAATATATGTTTAATATTTAAATGTTACAGATGACCGCGGTAGTAGTTCTCATAATTAACTTTGAAGTGATCAGTAGTAGCTTTGTTTCTCTATATTTTCTGTTACCCACAGTTTGCACAATTAAGTTAAAATTCAGCAAGACTAGTAGTTTGAGAATTATAAATAAAATAGTATTTAAAGGATGAGGCTATATTAGTGGTTCTTTATATTTTATTTTAAATTAATTTTGTAGAAAGAAGTTTACCTCTTGAGCCTTAGTTGTATTGGAACTAAGACTTTAATCATTATTAACTGTACCGGTAATTACTAAGTCAAAACGGGTATGAAGGAGCAGTTTCAAATAGCGCAGTAATAGCATCACAGTTTGTTGAATGTTTTGTGAAGGTGATTTCATAAGCCATTTCCGTGTCTATGCAGTAAATGCTTTCGGGAACTCCGGCAGAAAGGCGGCGAGCGAGTGTGGATGGAGTGCCTCAGGGTGTGTGGAGAAACGGTCTTGAGTTCCTGACGAAAAGTTTATAGGTGTCTCTTAAACCTTGTGCCACCTTGTGACATAGCTTTTCAGTCAGTTTTTTTCAATCACAGATGCAGCAAATATTTTAGTGATGGGTGTGGAAAATTCTGCAAAAGAAGGTGATCCTGGAACGATGTTCTTCTTCAGGTACGACAAGAAAAAACCCCACCGGGAGGTGGCCCCTGAGGGTGCAGGTGCCCCTTCGCTCTCCGTGGTAACTGGGTTCAAAGTGTGTGATTTAAAGTTAGCCTTTCATTCTTACTGTATCTAGAGGGTTTGTTGGATTAGGAATCTTCTGGTTAATTCTCTTGCAAAACAGTTTTTAAAACCAGTGAAGAATCCTCCCCTGGCTTGTCTCGATTTGTAAGTCCAGATTTGCTTTCACCACGTGTAGGTAAAGCCCCCTGTTTCCCATTCGCCCTCCCTGCCCCTTCCTCATTAGACCCAGGGTGCCTGCCCTGCTGTCTTTTCCGCCTTCCCTTTCTTCCCCGGCTGGAGCTCTTCAGCTCACACTTTCGCCCGCTCTACCTGTCCGGAGACTTCCACCTGCGACCCGGACTCACATACACTTGCTCCTTTATTTAAAGGTTGTTTTAATATCAAATACGCTAGGGTTGCTGAGGAGAAGGGTCTTTAGAATAATTTCATATTATCCTTAAAACACTTCAGAAAGGCCTGTTATTCCCATATTGCAACTAAGGACACTGGGGGCCCAAGGAATTAAGTAATTTACCCACAGTTGGGGGACTGATCAGTGGCAGACCAGAACCAAATGGAACATCCATAAGAATCCAAACTTTTGATCAAGTTTTCGTGGTCTCTTTCCTTGTCGTTGATGATCACTAGAAGCCCTGTCATTGTTCCTGTTGACAACTTGCCTTCCTTTTGATGTTACTTTGGAGATAATCAAGAATTCAGCATTTAGTCCAGGTAGAATGTGACCCCTTTGCCTCAAATGAGGAATTGGAACTCTGACATCCTCTAGGTCAGTGCCAGCCATTGGGAACGTACGAGCCACAGATGCAAGCCTTGTCTGTAATGATATGTTTTCTAATAGCCACATTTTTTTAAATTAAAAAAGATGAATTTAATTTTGAGCAACACTAATAGTATCATATAGTGCTTGAAATTAAATTTAATGGTGTATTTTATTTAACTCAACGTACGTAAAATATCATTTCAACATGTAATCAGTCAATAATTAATGAAATTTTACATTTTTTCCCCTAAGATTATGACAGGACAGGATAATTTTAATTTTTTTTCAATTACAGTTTGCATTCAATATTATTTTGTATTAGTTTCGTGTGAATGAAATTCTGCATTTTTCTTTCCATGCCAAGTCTCTGAACCCTGGCGTGTGTTCTACACTACAGCATCTCTCCATTTGAAGCAGGCACATTTCAAGTCCTCAGGGGCCACACGTGGTTTCCGTGCTCCCTGGCGCAGAGCCCAGCTGGAGGGAGGCGGGGTTGGCACCGTTCCCAGGGCTTCCCGCCCCGCCTGCCCCACAGTGGCCCTGAATCAGTTCTCTGCCTGTGGCTAACTACCCTCTCAGACCCACATCCTGCAACTGTCTGCTGGCCTGTTGCCACAACTCACTACCTGGTCCTCTGTCTGTCTGCTCATCCCACCACCAGTCTGTCTGTCTGCTGGAGGCAGGATGATTTTTCAACAGGTCATTCTGACCACTGTACTCTCCTGCTTAAAATTCTATGGAATTTGACCCAGCTCCTTGTCAAAGCACAAAGCTCCTTGAGGGGTTGGCCCCTCCCCACCTCTCCCCAGCGTGCCCACTGCTTGCCCACACCCACAGCCATTCACACTGCTGGCTGTTTATTCCGAGACATTGCCCTGCCCCGCCTGCCTTCTGCCGGAGCCCGCAGGGCGCCCTGTGCTGAGCTGCCTCCTCTCGTTCTCTCCTTTGGCTCCTCTGCTGTCCTTTGGGAACTGTGTCCATTGAGAGGTACATCGAGCACGTGAGCTGCGTAATTCTGTTAGACTGCTGATCACGTGCTACTGGAATTGCTGGTCTAGGTCTCAGTCACTGCTAGATTGGGGGATCCTTGAGGTTAGAAACTAGGTCGTATTCCTCTGTTTCCCGGATGCTACGCGCAGACCGGTACATATTCTAAGTGCCTTGCTTAAGAAATGTCTGAAGATCGATAATACGACAAGCATATGTTTACCTCCTTTCATTTCCACCTTTCCTTCCTCCAGGGCAATAACCCAGAGCCATAATTTCCTTTTTTATTTACTACCTAAACAGCTCAGTATGTCAGACTTAAGAAACCAAAACCAGTTGGTCTATAGCTTTAGGCCTTAAATTCTATCACAGCCAGAATGGGATGCAGAGGGCCCCCCGGGCTTCCTTGTGCAGTAGTTGGGCCGCAGGCCCAGCAGGGATGGGGGCCTTGGTCCCCGGGGGCCTGTGGCCACTGAGGCTTTGTCTCAGACTATTAAAGCTTGACCTTCATTCTTTCCTCGTGGCCAGATCTATAGGCAAGCTCAGACGAGTCTAGATACATCAAGTTACGCGAAGGGGGACCCAAAAAAACCCGGGATTTATTTGTAGAAAAAATGGTATATTTCTTCTCACTTTTTTAAACTTTAGTCACCTTCAAGGTACTCTCCGTCTGGTGCAACACATCTATTGAAACATCTTTCCACTGCTCAGACCGGTTTTTTAACTTGTCATTTTTGTTTCGCCTCATCCACATTGGCAAAACATTTCCTTTTGAGGACTTTTTTCATCTGAAAGGACAAAAAAAGTTGCGTGGGGCGAGAATGGGAAATAGGGAGGGTGAGCCACGGGGGTCAATGCCGGTTTTTGGTAAAAAAAAACAAACAAACCAAAAACTGCTGGGCACTCAGTGCAGTGTGGGCAGGTGCACTTGTAAATCACCCATCATGAAATGGGCAAACACATTGAAAGACTCTTCGAAATGAATTCACTGAAGCTGAACGCAGCCTCTCACAACAACGGCAGCTGGTGCACTGAGACAGATGGGTTCCTAGAACACTCACCCAGCAGGAAGCCTGTACTCCAGTTTTCGTGAGGGTCCGGGGGTGGCGGTCCTCCCTCATACAGTGTTACAAAAATAGTTATTCTGAAAACCAAGAGAGAAGTTTTGAGGAGTTAGGTTTTATCAAGAGTTGAAAGAGTAGTTCTTGTTTTGGCAAATCCATCTAAGAACCATAAAATCAAATTAGTAATAAATCATATATTTCTTCATTGCATTCTGGATACATTCGAGAAGTTACCTCTAAGCGTGGCTTTATGTGTGGCCCTAAAGAATGCATTCTGTCTTTAACTTCATTGATTCTCTTATTCTTTTAATTCAGGGAAGGAGCTGCTGTGTTCTGGAATGTGAAGGACAAAACTGTAAGTATAAATAAATTGTTAAAGTATAAAAATACAGTTTTCTGAAAATAAATTGTTAATTAGCCCTCAACAATCTGGGCCATTGGAACATAAATTAACAGATAATCCACAGTTTATTCTCTCTGCATTATGTGATATTTATCCTAGCAGTTTTGTCTTCCAAAATTATATTTTGGCTTATAAATTTCCTGACTTCTCTATTCTCTTGGCATACACTCATTTTTGGAGAATCAGAACAATCCTAGCTACACTGCAGACAGAAGGAACATACTCTGTACATGATAACCTACAAAATTAATAAGATACACAGAGTTCATGGGAAGCTTGGCTGCTCTGAATCTGATTATTAGATCAGTTTTCTAGAACGTTATCACCTCACGAGAAATAATTTCTTCAGAATCCTGAAAACATATTTTAATATAACCTTTTTTAGAGGTAGTTTGATAATATACATTAAAGCTTTGCTAGATTTAACTCAGAAGTTTTACATCTAGAAAGTTACCCAAAAGAAATAGTTGCAGTTATGCATGATGCATGGTGTGTAGAAAAGTCCATCCACACATTATTTACAAAAGCAAACTTGAGAAATAACCAGAATACAAAATAGTAGGACATTTATTGAATACTACGAATTTAACTAATTTAACCACAACTGTAGTAAATGTAGAATATACAACAGCTCTTAAAAGCCATGTGGAAAAATGTGCCTAGGAAATGATGGAGACTGTGTTTACAATACAGTTAAATTAAAAGTGTAGGTTACAAAATATTCCAATATAGTAGCAGAGCTGGTTAAAAAAAATATGTACCTTATACAATTCCAGTTTTACCAAGGGGAAATGCATGCGCGCGCACACACATGGAAAGGTAGCTGGAGGGGTTTCCTGAAGCAAAGAAATACAAGAAAAAGATAATACAAATTGGCCATTTGAAGTGATATAAAATACACAGTGTTTTTATAGAATGCACTCATTAAATGTTTGGATCCTAAAATTAGAAAAACGGGGAGAGTTTTAGCAAAATTTTTATCAAAATTGTACATGTGCATGCCTTTTGATCTAGCAGTTGCTAAAGAAATATTCCCACGAGCCCGTGAAGGCGCACACTTAAGGATGTGCACTGCGACCTTGTCGGAGTGGAGAGCAGGACTCAGCCCCCGCAGATGGGCAGCTAGGACGGCTAAATGCATTGCGGCCTCTGCTCAAGGAGACGGGCCTTGAAAATGTGCGCATGCGCACTGTGACCCGCTTGCCTCTGTAAGGCAAAGTAAATGCACATACACGTACACGCGGAAAAAGAAGTCTGGGAGGCCATGTGCCAGATTTAATGGTGTGCAGACTAGGAGTTTAGGAGAGCAGAGGAAGACTGTCCCTTTCTGCAACCACCTCTGTGTTGTTGTTACAAACCCTGATTGTGCTGATGGTTTTCTGTGGGCTATGGGATAATAATTTTAATTTCTTCTTTATGCTCATCTGTGATTTCCAAATGCAAAGACAAATGAATGTGTGTTCCTGATGAATTTAATATCACAATGAATTTGCCTGTCCCTTAAAAACTAAACAACAGAAGATATGTCATCAAATGTAAAGAAAATGTTATAAGCATTGACACTGTATAGTTTCCAGTTAATCTCCCTTTTCTTGTAGATGAAGCACGTGTTGCAAATTCTAGAAAAACATGAAATTCAGCCCTATGAAATTGCATTGGTGCACTGGGAAAACGAAGAGCTTAACTACACAAAAACAGAGTAAGCAGCTTCTTATCAAATTTACAGATGGCACTTGGCATAACAAGGTGAAAGCGGTAGAGGAGATCAATGATTTATGAATTTGAAGACTAATTTTAAGGGGAAAAAGTTTTTGTTACAAATATGAAGCCTAAAACTACAAGGGTGGGCAAAGTTCGGTTTACAGTTGTTCATATGGAAAATAATACAATAATTAATAATACAAGAATGAACTCTGCGTTTAGCATACTCACACCTGTAAACCTACTTTGCCCACCCCTGTATCATAAATATTAGTGGCTAGACATCACCTTTTTTACTTTCTCAGGTTACCTATAAATTAAAACAAGTAGATAGTATAACCCCAAAATGAAAAGTTTCCTACGCAGCCCAAATCAGAGAAATAGTATGCCTTCATGAGAATGAACCCCTCAAATTATTCTAGTAGTTTTCTCGTAAGTAAATCCATTTTCCCCATTGATACATTTTTGGGGAAACGGGAAATGCAGTGAGAGGGTGATCTAAGACTAACATTGTAGAAATGGGGTCCTGACATACTGTTCCCAGGTAAGGTATATGAGTAGGCCACATATTAGCTGTTGCCTGTCTCGGCGAGGGGTACAAAATGGAGATGTTAGGATGGAAAGAGAAGGCAGCACTAACCAGGTTGAAGGTATTTTTCCCCATGGAGTTACTTGTCTAGTGGGGCGCGGGGGGGGGGGGGGGGCGGTGCTGGTCTTTGTATTAAGAAAGGAAGAGATGAAAGCAGAGCTTCAGAGACATCAGGAAGAGACCGGATAGGATAAGAGCTAAGGACTAGGAGCCAGTAAAGCTCCGCTGCTTGCCCTGCGCCAGGCACACTGCCCTGGGTGCTTTCCAGGCACCGTTTCATTGAATCCTGACAGAAACCCTGTCACTGCAGGTAGCACAGTCTGTGTCACCCAAGGGCACCTGACCAGTCAGTGTGCCCCTGGGCCAGGAGTGGCCGCAGTCAGAGTAGAAAGTGCGCGTATAAACCTAAGAGAAACTATGAAATGAGGAGCTAATAGAAATTTGTTAATTACTAAGCCTTGTGGCTATATCTCCCGTGAATTCTTTTACCTTGTAGGGACCCCCCACACATGTACACACACGCCTCCCACATACATGCCACCTTTTGGTCTAAGGAGGAGGAAAGTCCTTCACCCTTCGAGCCCCCAAGTCAGTGGTTTGGTGTCATTCAAATAGACCATCTCGCCTGGCCCCCAGCGGGGTGGTTACGTGAGTCCTGCCCGTGACCCAGGCAGCTGCCGCCTCGCCCAGTTCCGTGGTGGGGCCTGGGCTCCTTCACGAAGCTGCTTGCCAGCGCTGCTCCCTTTTATCTTTCGTTCATTCGTTTGTTGCCCTGCGCCTGAGGTTGTCAGAGCAGATTCTTCCTGTCCGCCCCCCAGGTCCCTCTCTTCTCATCTGACATCTTTCAAGAAGACTCAGCCTACATTTCTCTGATGTTTGCATCCCAAGATTCCCTCCCTTCCCCATCTCCCGAGTCCCTTCCAGGGTTCTCTGCACGTCCGCCTTAGTTCTTCACAGCTGCTCGCCTTCCTCCCCACCTGCGCCACATCAGTGTGATGTTTCGATTACACTGTGTATGTACTTTTATAGGCAACCTTTTCTTCAGTTAACAATGTATTGTGATTATTTTCCTTTTCCATTATATGGACTTACCTGAAAGGCAATATGCTTCCAAAATATGCTTTATAATTTTCAATGTGTGGGGTACTATAAATGACCTCTTCTCCTATTGAACATTTAGTTTCTTTCTTAATTTTTTACTGTTAAACACTGAACCATAAAGGTTTTATACACAATCTTTCTTTGCATCTTTTGTTTCCCTAGAATAAGTTTCAAGAAGTGGAATTATTTGGATCAAAGGGTATAAGAACACTTATAAGACTCTTGATACTCTTTACAAAAGTGACCTGTAGAAAGACTGTAAGGCAACTTCTTCAAAAAGAAAAAAATTAAAGTGCTTGTTAAGGTTTAGAAGATTCTTTTTGTTTCCCTCTGCACAGGGGGCAGTCGAAACTTCACCACGGGGAGATCAGGCTGAACTCAGAGCTAGATTTAGATGACACCATTCTGGAGAAATTTGCTTTCTCAAATGCTCTTTGCCTTTCAGGTAAGTCAACACTACTTAACAAATAAAGGATTTCATAGTTTTCATTTCCTCAAGGGGAAGTTCAAGTATTTAGTAAAGATTCTGACATGTTTTCAGAGAATATTCAGCAACGCTTTAGCATTCCTTTTACTTTTTCTTTCCCCTGCAAGAGAAAAATGATACAGAGTATAAAAACAGGTATCTGTGCTGAAACTACTCATTTCCGATTAATTGTATTGATAAAGCTCAGGCTCTCCAGAAGTATTTTTTTTTTATGCCGTTGGTATTACTACTTTTATTTTTCCCTCCTCCTCTCTACGTGGTGATTGCTGCTCGGTGGTCTCTCATGCAGGCAGAGACCACCCCGCCCTGTGTGACTGGCAGAGACCTGGGTGTAGGAAAGTGACTCCAGTTTTTCACAGGAATGGGAGAGAGTCACCATGGCTTGGAGGGTTTTTTGAAAGATCCGTGCACCTGAATAAATCTGTAGAAGATGCCTAAGGTTTATGCTGCCATCCATCTGCGCTAGGCTGCTGCTGCTGGGGCCCAGCCTTACCGCGGGGGCTCAGTCACCTCCGAGCTATGCTCTAAGCCCCGGTGAGAGGGAGGGACGGTGGGAAGCCGACGCTGCCGCGTCCACAGAGCCACCCTGCGTCCCCGGGTGGGCCTCACGCCCTCTGCTTTCCAAGCTGCAATATTAGAAAACCAGGAATTCCACCTAATGGAGCTCCAGCCAGGCCTGGAAATCTACTTCGTTTCTTCTGTCTTTTTCCACTTCAGGGCTGTCCTTTATGGTAATTAACTCTTCTTAAATCTCAGTTTCAAATTTTTAGCACACATGAGTCTTAAAGTATTGTTAAAGGGGGGGGAGGTACTGTGCAATTCTGCATTTTGTATGACTGTGAATGTGACAATAAAAAAATGATCCAATGTGAAATTTTTCCCCAGTGAAACTGGCTATTTGGGAAGCATCACTGGATAAGTTTGTGGAATCCATTCAGTCAATTCCAGAGGTAATTTATACCAGTTTTATGCTTGTTTTCAAAGATTGATTTCTGTGTGGGAAAAATGCAAATTTCCCACTAAGACAATATGTTTAGAAATATGAAGAAATAATAACCCTAGGAAAGCTATACTTTATTTAAGAAAAAAAGAACCCCCAGTTACATATAAATTGATGAATAAGAAAGTTAATATTTATTTTATTTTTACTTTTCAAGCATAAACTTCAGATTACTTTCTTCTAGTGATGCAGTATTTTTAATGCAACTGAATTCAAGGAAAGAAAAAAAACAAATTGTTTCCTCTGTAAGGAAGGAGATTGTGACCACTTTTCTTGATTTTTTTTAAAAAAAGTGTTTTGCTAAATTATGAGAAAAATAGTGGCATAAAAAATACACAAAGTTATATCAAAATTTGAAAATACATTAAAAGTCATGTTTACTATAATTAATTTTATTTTTATGGTGAAGGAATAACCTAATTATACTTGGGATAAGAGGCTTAGAATTTTCAATGAGAGTTAAGGAATGTACATCATAGAAAATGCTTGGGAGAAGAGGAATGAGAAAAGGAAATACAGAATTTCTACCTGATGAGATTCTGTATCTGTGTATTTGTTTCCTCAGAGTGAGATGACTGGGAAGCAGTCATCCAAGAGATACCATTTATGTTGGATTAAAATTATGCTGCGTCAGCATTTGTTTTATGGTCCTGTTACTTAGTGCAGATATATGTGTACGTATATATGTTTTCTTTTTCCCTCCCAAATAGGCTTTAAAAGCTGGGAGGAAAGTGAAACTATCTCACGAAGAAGTTATGCAGAAAATGGGTGAGCTCTTTGCCCTAAGGTAAAATGTTCCCAGTAAATAAAATATTTCCTATCTTTAACGATCTCAAGAAAACATTCTTGTAGTCCTATAGTAAAGAGCCAACATTTGCACCTTTTGGGGACTTGCAGCTGTTTTCAGGTCATTCTTTGTAAGTGTGGAGAGCTCCTACCCATGAGAAGCAGTTGGGCTGTGTTAGGCCCTCCAGGGGAAATTCTACATGTTCAAAAGAGATCAGACTTAAACTACACTAAACCTGCATGAGAGAGCATAGTCAATGTTCTTTGAAGGTAGGAAGATACGTTCTAGCATTTGAATAATGGGAATCCTTAGTAAAAATATACCACTGCATCAAAATGCTAAATAGAACTAATTGCTACAGAAGTTATATACCACATTCATTGCCTGAGAAGCCGTAAGATACCACAAGAGAGGAGTAATGTTGCCCCTTAAAACTGCTATACAGAGCCTTTTGATCACAGAATCTATGAGTTGCGCTTGCTGAAATAGCTCTTTTAGTTTTATTTGGTGGTAGACTCTATCACGTTCCTTCTTGGGCATACATTGTTGAAGGCGTTGACAATTAAGTCACAACCGCCACCTGTAAGATACCATCAATTATAAAGATGCCGCCCACTTTCAGAGATGTTTAAATGGGAAGAACTGTGACTTAAAATTGATGAAATGGGAAGAACTGTGACTTAAAATTGATGAAACATGAAACATTGTAATACATCATTTTGAGTAAGTGTGTGAGAAGGTTTCAGTTTCTTAGTCTCGTAACTTTCCCAGGATCTGTGGAAGGGAATTCTTGAATTTTGTTTGGTGGTTTGTCCCCTCCAGTGAATGGGGATGAACTACTAGAGTTCATTGTAAGCGGCTGACCTAAGAGTTGTTTTCCACGTTCCCCTTAGATGCTTGGCCTGGAGAGCAGAGGTCCTGCGTTTCATCATCTACGCGTTTCTCATAGCTCAGGAAGCCTAACTCAGGGCACCAACAAAAATAACCCCACTCGTCAGGAGCACCCACTGCTGACCCAAAGCCTTGAGTTCTCTAAGAAGTGGGGTAGAGTCTCTCCTCTTCTCTTGGTCATGCAAACAGAGTTTGACATAGCCAGTAAGCAAAACTCAGAAGCTAGGACTAAATATGCTTAGGTTTGTGGGTAGTTTCTATAGAGTCCTGCCATTCTTATCCTAAGCTTTCTTCTCTTTACAATAAAAGTGCTTATGTGTTACTAAAAGGAATGCGGTCAATCTGTGAGTAAAAGCATGGCGAGTTATCTTTGGTGAAAATAAATCACAAATTATATATGGTAGGATTCTTTGTGTAGGCCCACAAAAATAAATGCTGTTTGTCTTGTTATTTGTATATACTACACATACATGGGCACACACACATACATGTATGCACAGAAAAAGATCTGAAAGAACACAGGGCCATGTTTGCAGGGCCTGAACGATCTGAGTTGTATGTTAGGGTAAGGGGCCCTACCAGTGTTTTCTGAATTCTCCTCTAGGGTTTTTCTTTTTCTATAGTGAACAGCTATTTAGGTTACTTTTACAACTCAAATTTCATTTAAAAGTAAGCTTTGACCTGTTCTGTAAAAAGAGATAGAAATTAAGAAAGAGGGAGTGTGTGTGCACGCACACTCAATGTGTGCAAACCCTGGAAGGGTACAGGTAAACTAACATTGGTTACCTGTGGAGGGTGGGAGAAGGGGAAGATGGGGATAAGAATAGGGGTAAGATTGGTCAGTTTTTACCTTATTCTTTTTGAGCCATGTGATTACCTACTCTCACACACACAAAAATGTGTATATTGTAAAATTTTTTAATGAAAAAGTTTAGAAATAGGAAAAAACCTCTCATTTTGTTTTTAAACTACTTCATAAATAATACTAATATTAAAGATTGACTTAATTGGGTTGCAAATTTTAAGATTCTTTTAAATTTTTTATTTATTTATACTTTCTCAAAAGTATTAGAGGTCAGCAATTGTCTTAAAGCACCATGAAAATAAAAAAATATAGAGACCATGATTCAGGACAGAAAATAAAATTCATAATTTTCCTTTTTTTAAGACACCGTATAAACTTGAGTTCAGACTTCTTGATCACGCCTGATTTCTACTGGGACAGAGAAAACCTAGAACAACTTTATGATAAAACCTGTCAGTTCCTAAGCATTACTCGTAGAGTTAAGGTATGTACTTTTCACTTTTATAGAAACAGACACGTTGTTGCCTATAATTTGTATAACTATGTGAAGCCAAATTTTAAATTAAGAAATTGTATTTAACTGTTTCTGGAGAATTTTCATGACTTCTGCTCAGACCTCTGGACTTCGCCTTTTCCTTCTTATTCTGTATAGAATTTTCAACTTTTCTGAGTAAAAGGACATTCTGATATTTGCGGTCCAGAGCGGGTAAGGCGGGTGAGCGCCTGGAGGCCTGGTGGCCTGTGGGGAGGTGGTTCTCGAGTTTCCAGCAGGCGTCCGTGGGGCCTGCGACTGCGGTGGTGCCGGCGAGGGCAGAGCTGGATTTAAGAAAGAAGCCTCTCGCAGATCTAGAGGCTTCTACTTGGTCGTGGAAGTCCAGGGAGCAGGAAGAGGGAGGGTGACTGGTATGTGCCTGTGGGTGACAGGGCAGAAAGATGGCAGAAGAGAGAGGCAGGGACAGGAGGCGGCGAGGAGCGGAAGTTAAGATGAGGTGAGAGCAGAGTAGCAAGAGGACATCCAGTTAGAACGGTCACTCGGGCATGTAGCAGTGTGGGAGCAAACTGGGGAAGAGACATCTGGGTCATGGGAACAACAGAGTGGTGGGGGAGGCCGTGAGGATGTAAACAAACTGCACGGGGAACACGGAGAGAAGACAAAGTGGACATTGGTACCGCATGTGGGCAGAGTTTGACATCATTTTATCCCAGGTAGATCTGTGTAGCCTTGCTATCGAGATACAGAACGGTCACCATGGAGGCCTCCCTGTGCTGCCCCTGACTGCCACGCCTGCCCCTGACCGCCGTCTCGAGCCGGGTGCCTTCCTCAGCCCCTTGCCCCATAGGCTTCCTCGCAGAGCGTCTCACCGCCTGGCAGCTTGCTTCGTGGGCCAGGGTCGGGAGTTGAGAGAGAGAGAGAACGCACTGGAAAGGTGGAGTCACAGTCTTTTGTAAGCTAATCACAGCAGCGGCATGCCAGCTCTTTTGCTGTGCTCTGTTAGAAACAAGTCACTAGCCTGGCCCCCAGTTCAGGGCGATACTGAACAAGAGTGCGAACACCAGAAGGCCGAGATCTCCGGGTGGCGTGTTGGAAGTCTGCCTACCGCAGGCTCCAGGCTTTGAAAAAAAGTCGAGAAAGTTTTAAAAGCCTATTTTGTTTTGCCTTGCTTTTTGTTTTGATTTTGAGAGTATGTTTATTAAAGCGGGGACAGTGAAACAAGGAAGGGCTTAGAATAGAAGGAGCAACAGGAGCGAGACTAGGCCGGGCTGCTTTGGCTCACAGGAGAGTCACAGAAAAGGGGCCTTGGAGACGGGTTCAGTAGGGTTTTCCAGGACGAGCTGCCGCTGGCCCTTGCTCCCCTGGTTGGTCTTGTGGGGTCGCTTAGAGTTAAGGAGATGCACGCCCATGGGGGAAGAGAGGCATGGGTGTGCCCCTGGGAGGGAGAGCCTGCCGTATTTTGCCATGTATAATGTGTGCCCACGTTTTTATGCGCATTATACATGGGATTATTATACCCGTAGTATGTAATCATTATACCCAGTATAATGTGCCTCCTTATTTTTCCCTCAAAATTTGGTCAAAAAGTGCATGTTATACATGGCGAAATATGGGTACTTTGTAATCACTGTGACACACATCACCCTCACCCCCACCATCACTTGAATGACTTCTAGCTTCAGGCCACCAAAGGCCCTGCCGCCAGTGCTGGTCTCATTGTCAGTGAGTCCACCGCCACTGCCACTGGGCCTGGACACAGTTAATTTCAAAAGAGATACTCTGATCTTTGACCCGGCAGGTAGCCTTTTTTATCTGTCTGTCCTTGCTGTTCAAGATGGAATTGTTGACAGCAAGTCTACAACTGAGGACACCTCTTGAGTAAGAATACTGTGACAACCTAAAGGTCAGCTCTGTCACAGCTAAGATAAAGGGCGAGCATAAGGACGTCCGTGGGAACAGGAGGGCTGTGTCCACCCCCCACCCCCCACCCCCCACCCCCACACCCGCTGCTGAGTGCACTGCCTTCAGGGCCCAGACCGGTTTGAGATTGAGTCCCTCTGTGAAGGAGTGACCGCTGTCTCTGGTTACACATTAGCAGCTGGAGGAGCCACATGCTGGCCCAGCCTCTGGCCCCAAGGCCTCTGGAGAAGGCTCTGTGCAGGACCAGCTGGACCTGACACCATCCCAGTGGGGGGCTCCGTCTGCAGCCCCGAGATTGAAAATTGCCTGTGAAAAGAACTAAAACTGAATTTATTCACAGACAATATGAGCTTGTATGGAGAATATCCTAAAGAATCTACAAAGAAGCCACTGACACTAATAAGTGAATTTATCAAAGTGGCAAGATGCTAGGTAAATATACAAAAAAATTAGTTTTTCTTCATATACCAACAAACAATTGGAAGTGAATTTTTAAAATACCATTTACAATAATAATACCAAAAACTTGAATTACTTAGGAATACTTTTTAATATAAATAAGACTTGTACGCCCCAAAAAATAGAAAACATGGCTGAGAAAGAAAATAAAGATACATACCATGTTTGTAGAATAGAAGACTCAGAGTTATTAAGATGTTAGTTCTCCCAGAAATTGTACAATTTCAATTTCAGATTCAATTCAATCCCAATCAAAATCTCAGCAGGGTTTTTGTTTTTAATTTTAGAACAAACAAGCTGATTTTAAAATGGAAATGCAAGGGGCCTAGACTAGCCAAAGCAATTTAGAGAAAAAGACAAAGTTGGAGGAATTTTATTACCTGATTTTAAGATTTGCAGTAAATCAAACTACAGCAGTCAAGACAGATGAATATTGGTATAAGAAGTCTCTAGATTAATGGAACAGAATAGAGAGTCCAGAAATATATTTGTATACATATGGGCAATTGTTTTTGACAAATATAAATTAATTCAATAACAAGGGGAACTTTTTAACAAATGGTGCTGGAATCATAGCCATTACATAAAAAAAAATTCTGTCCTTCACACCATTTTGAAGTGAATCTGAAACCTAATGTAGGAGTTAAAATTACAAAAACTCAGGAAGAAAATATAAAAGAAAAGCCTCATTCCTTAATACCAGCATTCCCTGAAAATCCACTTTAATTTTTCTTTAGGAGCTAAAATTCAAAATTCATTTAAGTAATCTTTATAAATTAAATACATTTATACCATATTGGATTCTGTGTTAGGAACTGGTACCGGGTAGCTGAAAATAGAAGTAGCAGTGTATTGGGGGCAGAGGGGACTTGTGAAGTTGGAGCTACACTCGTGGGATTCCCCCTCTCCTTCCCTAACACATAGCAGTGAACGTGGTCCTTACCCCCAAAGTATGAGGGGCACAGCAAAGACCGGGCTGGGTCGGCTTGTGGGCCCATAGGGTAAGGTGTGTGGGTCGGGACCTCTAGTAGGTAAAGGCCTGCTGAGCGTGATGGAGACATGGGTCTGCAGTACATTTCACTTTATGGAACACTTGGACTTCTGTTTCTGAAAACTTAGTATATACAACAACGAAAACCTTTGCTCATGAAAATTCCCTTGACTGCTGACAAATTGCATGGAACGCCCCCTCACGTTGCATTGAATGTGTGTTCCCGGCGTCAGAGGTGCCCTGTTCTCTTTACTGCTGTCATCTGCTCGGCTCATTGCAGTCACTGCCAGGAAATGCTCTCATTTCATTCTGCAGCCTCTCTCTGAGACGCCGCCTTGGTGGTATCTGCCACAAGTTACGAAACACACCTACCAGTTCCCAAACTACATTTCTCAGAGTATTTTCTTAACATCCCAAAGGGAATCAAGACTAGTTGGATTATGTGAAGATTAATCAGGAATTAAAAGAATTTACCCCACCTTACTGTGTTCAAGAGAGTTCTGGCACTATAGATAACACAAAAAAAAATAAGAGCTGGTCCTGACCCTCAGCAAGTTTTTGAGTCTTGCAAGAAGCCTTATAGAACTATGAAAGGATGGTGGTAGTGCCAGAGAAGGTTGTTCCTTGTTCGATTTTTTATTTCTTGTTTCTTCCTAAAGGAAAGCATCTTGGGAATAACAGGGTGACCAGGCATGAGATACGCTGAAAAGCAGTCCCCGTTATTTAGGATGGAGGAAAAGTCATTCCATTTGGTAATTAAGAGGTCACTAGGAAAGAATGGAGCTGTGACGTAAGTGGACTAAGGACAGGAAGCAGTCAGCCTTGGGTCCCTCTCCACATTTTTCTCAGGCTGCTCCAAGACCCTGTCGTTGATTCTTCTGGCCTCACACTGCCCCTACCATGACCAGTCTTACTCGTTTGCAAGACTCTGCTCCCACCTTTTCCTGATAATTTTCAAACAGTATCTCTAACCTCATGCTCTCCTTTACTTCCCGGGTGCCGCCACTTGCCTGCTTCCACGTGGTCCTGTCTCTTGGCATCCTTTTTAGAATTAAGTCCATGTGTCACTCGCCACTAGAATGTAGGCTGCATGAGAGGAGAGACCCCGAGTATTTCCTTCCCTGCTCTATTCCCATTTTTTGGCAATGGCCTCACGTAGAGTATGTGCTCAATAAATACTGGCAGCATTAATCAGTGATTAAGATTCCAAAGAGGAACTCACTCTCTGCTCCCAGAAAACATTGAACCTTCTCTAGTCTCAACTTTGGCTAATGGCAGGACCGACCACCGAGCCTCACCCACCTCGTCAGTCTACCAGAAGCTTGAAACTCATGGTTTCCTCTTCCTGCTTCACCCTCCACATCTAGTCAGTCCAACAGTCTTTCCTTTTCTCCTAAGTGTCATTCATTCACTTACAAATACTTATTGAAGGTCCACAATTAGGGGTGTCCAAACTTGGCATCTGTGCACCACACTGGAAGAATTATTGTCTTGGGCCATCATTAAATACATTGGGACATGTAATCACAAAAAAAAATCTGTTTTCAGTAAATGTACGATTTTGTGCTGGGCCACATTCACAGCCACCCTGGGGCTGCATGCAGCCCGCAGGTTGGACACCCCTGGAAAATCCTGGGCTCGGGAAGCAGGGAGGGATGTCATACTTACCTCTCCCTTCAAGCCCCCTGCCCCGACTGTTAACATGCACCCTACTACTATTCCCGGACTGTTCTACCACCTTCTCCACTGCCTCCCAGCCTCTAGACTGAATATTTTAGCCAGAAGGCAAAGATGTGTTTGTCTTACCATTCAGTCCTCCCTCCCCACACAGTATGGTGAATATTAAATACTCTAAGACAGAACAAAGGACTCCCCGCTACCTGAAAAATAAAGTTCCCACGTTATAGCATCGTTTACTAGTTTTCTGTTGCTGCTGTAACAGATCACAGACTGGCATAATGCCACATTGTTACCATTTTGTAGGTCAGAGCCTGACATAGGAGCCACTGAGCAAAAATCCTGGTGTTCGCATGTTGGTGATTCCTTTCTGGAGGCTCTGGGTAGTGTCTGTTCCCTTGCCTTTTCAGCTCCTAGAAGCCACCCGCGTCTTGGGCTCATAGCTCTTCCCCCGCATCTAGCAAAGGGGAGTTGGGCCCGCCTCACGTTGTTACTCAGAACTCCTGAACTCCTCCGCCTGCCCTTTCCACTTCTAAGGACCTTTGTGAATGCACTGGGCCCACCTGGGTGATCTAGGATTCTCTCTTAAGACCAGCTGATTAGCAACCTTAATTCCTATACAATGGTGATCCTCCTTTGCCCTGTCACATTCCCGGGTCCCAGGGATTAGGATGTCATCGTCTTTGGGGGGACGTCATTCTGCCTACGGCTTAGTCTACGGTACCTCTCACAGTTTGGTACTAACCTTCCGAGCGGCCCACTCCCGAACCCTGCCTGCCTCTCTGCTGTCTCCTCGGCTGGAAACACTCTCCCCTCCGTGTTGCAACTTTTCTTCCTGGCACCTGTCTATTTAGAATCTACTTCCCACTTACCATCTCTGCGTGTCCCTGTTCCTCCTGCTCCCTCATCTGTGTGCACATAACATGCGTGACTCTGGGTACATGAAGTAGGCAGCATGTTTGTGGCGATTCCTCTTGCGTGAACATAACAGAAAAACAGTTTGGATGTCTTTCATGCTTTTCACCATGTACTGGCTCACATGCCAGAACTGGGGTGGGGTGTGGGATTGGGGTGTGTATTACGCAGACCCAAACAGGCCGCTGGGACTGCTGCTCCCTCCGTGTCTGTGCCAGCTTGGCTGCCTTCTTTACTTTTCAGCATCATTCCCTTTAGATGGCGGAGGGGTGGGGGGAGAGGGAATAGTCAAGCTTACAGTTCACTCTGGCAGCTTCCAAGGATTGGGATATGCGTCTGAGCCTGTGTCTCTTAACCACCCCGTCTACTGTCCAGCTTTTCAGGGGAGAAGTCAGGTGGCGCTGATACCATGATCGGCAGCATCATATGCTTGGAAATAGTGAGAGAGTAACTTCCTAAAAGCGGGGGAGGACAGTGGAAGGGCAGGAGGCCGGAGAGGTTTCACAGGGACTGAGCTTCAGAGACTGAAAGGGATGCCACCATGAGTACGTGTGATGGGGCTAAATGGTCAAATTGCCCTGTGCCATGGAAAAGGCAGTGGTAGGGGCCTAAAGATTTGAGCAGGGCAGTGACATGATCCAGCCTGCTAAGAACTCTGATGCCACTGCGAAAAAAATGGAAACCCCTTTTTACCCCTCCACCCCCAGAAAAAGCAGACCGTTCTTAGAAGGTAATGAGTAGGTAGTTGGTGAAGGTCTACCGGGTAGTATTATTAAGACATACACAGAGGACAGATTGACGCTTCTCAGAGCCCAGGATACCTGTAGGGAGTGGGAATTAAAGGTTTCTGTCCTGAGTGAGAAGACAGTGTGACCCCGCTTGAGACAGAAAACCCAAGAGGGGTAGTCTGAACAGGATATCCATTTTAGTTTGAGAAATGCAAAATTTTCAGATGCTGGCAGGAAACCCAAAAGATGTTGTATAGGCAGTTAGAAATTCAGAACAGAAATCGGATTAAGCATTCACATTTGACTTAATCAGAAAGTAGTTCCAGTCTTTCCCAAAATGTGCCATACATACACATGTACAGTAGATTAACTTAGGTGGCATGTGGACACTGAAGTAAGATCTCTGTTTATTGTCGAGGAGAAAGGCTTGGTTTGGCCTGAGTGGGTCTTGACTAGTCTGGTTTGCGCACATCCCCTTTCACAGGTGTCAGGCTGAGCTGTGTGTGGGCAACAAGCAGTTTCATGTACTACTGGTTTTCCATTTATGGCAATGGTAGTTTCTTTTTAAAATATTTTAAGTATGGTCTTCTGGAATGTAAATAGTACAGCTGTCACACATGTATCATAGTAGTAGTGACGGCAGGATGGAAATGACTGAAGTTTAGGAAGCATCTATGTGAACCAAAGTCAAGTCACATAAGAAGCGTACAGAACTAGAGGACAACGACAACATCAGGACTTTGGAAAATATTATCTAAAGGCAAGATGAGGTAGATAGACTCAGAAAGAATGGTCATCAGAGGCAGAGCTTAGTTCTTAGGGAAGGGAAAGCTAAAGGAAGCATCCGCACTTCAGAATGTTGTCAGCTGCTTGACTTAACTGAGGTTTAGCATCTAACTAAGTTGTTGGATTTACTGTTAGGAGACAGCTGGATTTACTGGGAAGTTTCAGGGGAGTTGTGGTGATACATACAACTTGGAAGGGCCAAGGAATAAGTTAAGACAATGAAGCAGGGGAAGAAAACGTCGGTTCTTTAGTCAGAGTTGAAAGAAAATGGAAGAGGATTGGGTGGGTCAGTACTTTGAACAGAGAAGCAAGACTAAGGATGAGCAGCACATTTATAGACCAAGATCAGCCAACAGGACTAGGAAGAGGAAGGATGGGGAGGAATAAACATTGTTCTAAACATTTATACACATGAGGAACCACAGGGTGACCATAAAGTCTGGAAACATAGGCAAATACTATATATGCTACCAGTGTGGGTCCGTATCCTGTCATTAGTAAGGCTGTTTAAATGTTCTGTGCAACATCAGTGAACACGGTGCACTTAACACAGTTCAGTCAAACCCCAGACATGCATCTGTAATTTGTCTCAAGTTTCCACTGACCAAACCTGTATCCTCAGCATACCCTTTAAGTAATCCAGGGAAATCAAACTATTTTTATTAAAAATTTGTTTCCAGACTTCACGATTTCCAAAAGCAAGCAAGCTGCAGAGAAATTAAGGAGGTATAACTTGCCAGTGGTCACACTCAAGGTTAAAAGTTGTGTGTTCCACGAACCCCCAACCCACTTGAGGCATCAGCAGCAGGCAGAACCCCTGCAGTTCAGTGGTAAAAGCAGCGCCATCTAGTGGTGAGTGTGCAGCAGGTCGTGTGAGTGTTTGGGGGGTTTGCCAGTGAGACTTTGGAAGTTTTAGTATACAGTAATCTTTGTCATGTTAAGGCCATGCTGAAAGAATCACACTTCAAGTTTGCCGTTCTTAACTGCTGAAAATCCAAAGGCAGCCACCATAAACCAGGGCTCAGAACTTTGTATTTACGTCTTCCATCAAAATCCTACTAAGAGCTTCAGCATACAAGGTGTTTCTTGCAGTTCAGTCTGTGCATTCAACACAGAACGTCTCTAGACGGATGCAGGAGGCAGGGAACGTTGGCAGGCTGCCTTGGGGCGGGGGGTGGGGGGGGAGCGTGGTATAAGAACTGAAGGAATGCTTTTTCATTGTAAACCTATTTCAGACCTTTAGAATTTTGAAGTATGTGACCATGTAACTTATTTGCTTATATTGTCTAAGTACAGAATATATCATTTTCCTGTTCACTGTTTTCCTAATGCAGGTCATGAATGAAAAACTCCAGCACTGCATGGAGCTAACAGACCTAATGCGGAATCACTTGACTGAGAAGAGGACACTCCGCTTGGAGTGGATGATCGTCATCCTCATCACCATAGAGGTCAGCATGTTTTTTATGAAAATAAGAGTTGACATAGAAAATACTTTATCCCAATTAGTAAGTCTACTGGGAAGCGAATTAAGTTTCAAGTGACTGTGGTGATATTTTGTAAACGCATTGTGACTTTTTTGGAAGCTCCACCATTTTTTAAAGATGGCATTGAAGTTCTGGCTATAAATTTATAATATACAGTCCAAAAGCGGTACCTTTGCCTATGATCTGCACTTGCCACATGAGAAACACAAATATGTACTCTTACATCAAATTCTTCATTAATTGTACTCATGCTTTTCCATGAAATTAGTAATTCTCACTTTTTATCACCCTAAAGGTAATGTTTGAGCTGGGACGAGTATTTTTCTGATCAAGTGATGACCAGAGTACCATTGCAAGACATATTGAAGCTCTACAATCAAAAATAAATGTTCACTGTTGGGGGAAATCTCATATTTAATAGGTATTTAATTTTTTTAAAATCAAGAAGTTTTTTTCAGTGCCTAAATGTATTGCTGCTTTAATAAAAATGATGAAGAATCTAGTGTTTGGGTCTGTAACACTGACAGTTTGAAAGGAAAATGTTTTGTTTATATCACTTTTAATAAGCTTAGCATCTAGGAACTCCAGGATTACTGAAGCCTATGGCTTAGATTTTAGACATTGCTCCTCATCTCTCCCCAGGGAATCCTAATCATGGTCCCTGCTTAAAAGAACCATACAGGACCTCAGGAATGTTAAAGAGTAAGACAGGCATTTGTTGCTAGAATGTAATTTTGTTAGCCTATTTTACATAGCATAATTTGAGGATGAATGTTCACTTGCACTTTGCCTTTTACTAATTTAGTAATTTCTGTCCCTTCACTACCAAAGTTAGCCAAAATATTCTTTCCACAGAAGCATGTATTTTTTTTGGTTTCACACATACTTTACAGAATTTTAAAAAAATACCAAGTACAAAGAATTGAACATTTATATGCTTACCACTTTAATTGATAAACTTTTTTAAAGCAGCCTTCATTTGTCGTTAGGCGTTGACTGCCCCGCTGCCCATCCCACCACAATGAATTTAAAGTTGTATTTTCCTCATACATATTGATAAAAAGGATTATTCTGTTCGAAATTGGGACAATGTCCTTTTGCAACTTGTTTAACTGCTACATAGCATGAAGCCAAGAAAAATCCCCGTTTATCTGGCCACCTGCTGCCGCCTGAAGTGGCTGTGGCAGCGCCCGTGGCAGCGCCCCTTCCCAGGCAGCGGCAGCCCGTCCCGGGCGCCTCCACCCCGGGGCGCCTGCGGCTTTCCAAGGAGGGTGTGGCCATGCAGAGCTCAAGGACTGCTTGCTCGGTCCTCGCTTTCCACACGAGCACCTCCGTGGAACTGCCGTGCTGTGCACACACCTGCGGTTGAGTGTCACGTCTGTCCCCTTTTCCCATCTTCCCTTCTTACGCCACACAGAAGGCATCTCTCCCCCAGCTTGAATCTTGGGTTTGGTCCGCTATATTTAAAAGCCTTCAAATATATTTAACCTATATTTTTAAACTGTAGGGAAGCCAAATAGGAGGACAATTTGAAATAACAGGTCAACAAAGCCTCCTTGAACTGAAACCACGTTATCCCCTACCTAATAAGAAGGGAATTTAAATAAATTAAATTTGACTTCAAGTACCAATGTGTACAATTGATGTGTACAACTGTGTATTATAACAATTTCAATACAAAACATGAATATTTGGTGCCTTTTGGTCTTGACAAACTGAGATTTAACATATACAAATACATTGCAAAAAAATAAAGATACGTACTTCAAGCATAAAATTTATTAGGGCAACGTTTTGTGGTATGAATTTAACCACTACAGGTTTTCAAGGAGGAAAAGGAGCAATGTTAAATTTGGATCATTTACATGTTTCACTGGATCATGGTGGGGACATCAACTAATTCTGGTATTATATTCCATTAGCTACATTAGATGCAATAGCTTTATTCTTAAATATCTATGTTTTTGATACACCAGAGATTACATCTTTTTCAACTATTTAAATTTATGATAGTAGGTTCAACCTAAGTTACAAAAGAGTTTTTAAAATTTTTGCTATAACACAGGAACAGTTTGTTTTCAAGGTCACAACTTTTCTAAGAACAAAATGACCAAGAAATCATACCAGAATATTGAGAGCCTAGAGCATTTCAGTCACTAACCAGTGGCTCTGGAAGCACTCCTCAAAGTGTATCAAATGTCCATCACTCATGAGAATCAGTGCTTAAGACCAAACCTGGATTCTGAATTCTTGCTCCGACCAGCACTTAACTAGCTCTATCACCTTGGGCAAGTCACTGAACCTCTCCAGGCCTTATATGTAAAATGGGTTTAATAATAGCACTACCTCAGTTCAAAATCCATATAGGACTGGAGATTAAATGGAGAATGAATCAAATCCCCAGGATCCCCCTTTGAATCCATAGTTCAGAAATATGACTCAGAGTTAAAGATAGATGTTAGTGAATCCTGCATCCAAATACATGGAGTGGTTCATTGAAATATAAAGCAGTATTCCCACTGTCTCAAAGGCTTTTAAAATACATTTTGCTTTCACCTAGCAGCTTCCAGCAGGCATTCTGGGGTGCCTTTTGGGGTAGCTGCAGCATTCAGAGGCAGAAAGGTTTCTACATATAAAGTCAATATACTGTTCTAGTATTACCATTTCTTTAACAAAATAATCATATTCACCTATTTTTAATTACTGTCATGTCTTTCTTCACCACTTAAAAGTAGTTTTTCCAAAGTATGGTCCCCAGACCAACTGCCTGAGCAAATAGCTGCATGTCCATGATTACTGATTCTACAATCAGAACACAGGAATCAGTAATAAATCTATAGTTTCTAGAGGCTGCAGTTACAAATCTGTTTTTTAAAACTCTCCAAGAGATTCTTTGGCTTACTAATAAACTCTGAGAACCACTAACTTACAGCTTACTCAGTTTATACAATTTTAAGTACTTCATTAGCACCCTCTTGTTCCACGTAATGTACTAAGTACCAAATCTCAGGGTTCCAATTCTCTACCCAACCCAATCTTCTCATTCTCTCATCTCTCTGCTTTCACAAACTGGGTGTAACTTACATGCTAGGAGGTGATGAGAATGAGAAGAGTTTTTTCAAGTACCTCCAGTCTAAATCTCTTTACTTTCAACTTCCTCAATTGTTTCTAAATTGGCCATTTTAAGGAAGATTTAAGGTCACTGTTCTAAATCCCCTTTCCTCGGGGTTACCATGATTTTTTTAAAGGCTACATTCTCACTCCTGCACAATCGGAAACAAAACATACATTTAAATGCTCCTGTAAAAACATTTCAACATCCCCTAGACTTACAGTCTTACAATAAAATAGGTTGGAAAGCATACAGGACGTAAAACCTATTCATAGAGACAGTCATTCTTCCATACAATTATGACATGTTACTTCTTGGCTCCAAGATACAGTGGTCACATCAGAAAGGGCCCCTACTTTGATGAAGACTACATTCTAATGAACGCAGCAGGAAAATAAGCGACTAAATAATCTGATTAAAGACAAACATGCTCTACGAAGAGGTAGAGGAGTGGTATGAAAAGTCAGGAAAGGGGAACAGGATAGTTAAAGAATTTAAAGTTTACTTTAGGTTTAGATCTAACTACCTGAATTTAAAAACTCAGAAGAAATTCTAAGTATAAACTTGACTTTTAATTTAGCTTCTGCAAGACTTGGAAATTTGCGTACCCTAACAGAACAACTTTTTTTAAATATTGCTAATATAAAAATAAGGACTGCCCTGACTCAGGTGGCTCGTTGGCCATCGTCCCACAGAGCAAAGGGCTCACTGGTTCGATCCCCGGTCCGGGTACATGCCTGGGTGTTCCTCTCTCGCATCAGTTCTTATCTCTCTCCCCAAATAAACAAACAAACAAATAAATATTTTAAAAATATGTACTACAGTGCTTCTTAAACTCATTATTGATGCAATCCCAGTCAAATCTAAAACACTCAGCACTAGTCCTTAAATTGAAGGTGTTGATCCTATTCTGCCTCATGTTTTGAGCTCTGCTTACCTTAAGAGATTTTGACTCTTAAGCATCCTGACGGCAAGATGAGTTGGAATACTTGTCCAATGGTTGATTAATGAAATTCTCAGACTCCCTTTATGTAGTGCTTTCAGATCCTGGGTTTCCTGGCAGCAGCCAGACTTTCAATGCTCAACAGGGAAAGGCCTGGGCAAGGAAACCAGATAGTTAGTGTACTCTCAGAACACATTTTTGGAATTTATGTTTAAACAGCCACCTTTTTCAAAGCAGGACTCTGCTGACACTCTACAGATAAATTACTAGAAACAGGAACCTCCCCTACCAACGATCAACCCTCTTCACAAAGAAAAATGAGCTGAGATAGAGACACAACTCTTACCAATCAAGGAAGTAGTTTTTCCCTGTATTTATTGTTTCATTTTGAAAACCCCAAACAGTTCTATAGCCAAAAATTCAGGTTCACATTTATATTGTTTTTTTATTCCCACCAGGAATATGTTTATTAATTTGAGAGAGAGAGAAGGGAGAGGAACATTAGTGGGTTGCCTCCTGTACATGTCCTGACCAGGGATCAAACCTGCAACCCAGAAGTGGGCCCTCACCGGGGATCAAACCTGCACCTTTCGGTGCACAGGGTGACATTCCAACCAACTGAGGCACCTGGCCAGGGCTGTATTGTTTTTTAAGAAATAATATTTCAAAATTAAAGTTCTTTAAAAATCAGTGATGACTACTTATACATGTTACTACTGAAATGAATCTTTCACTCAATTTGGCAGAGAGAGGCAGCCAGTCTCAAAAGACTACATATTGTATGACTCCATTTATATAACATGCCAGAAAAAACAAAACTAGGGTGCAGAACAAATGAGTGGCTGCCAGGAGGAAGGGGCGGGAGGAGGGTGAGTGTATAGAAGGACGTCATGAGCAAGTTTTTTGAAGTGAGAAAACTCCTGTACCCGAATGTGGTTGTTACACAAATGTGTACCTCTACTGAAGTTCACAACCATACGCTAGTTCTAAAAATTTCTTTAAATCAGTAATTATTTAAAATGTTAACGATCCTTATTATTTAGTGAGGTACTGTGCTAAGCCGCCTTACATACACTTTCTTATACTCAACAAACCTATGAGGTAAATAAATATCATCCCTATTTGAGTAAAACAAAAACTGAGGCTCAGAGGTTAAGTAACATGCCCAAAACCAAACAGCCTAAGGGACAAAGCATGATACCACCTGATCTGACTCCACAGCCTATATCCTTAACCACTGTCGTAACAGTATCCCATACTCTCTCCCCTCCATTCGTAAATACCAACACTCTGTCTCTCCCAGCGATGTCAGGAGACTAGGTTTCCTCATCCCATTCCTAAATGAAGACACTACACACAATGTGAAAATGTGCAGGTGAGCAAAGCATGATTCTAGAGAGTGATTTTCAACCTTTTTCATCTCATTCGACAGTCTAAGGGAAAAGAGGTCAATGCCCCTCACTAAATAGTTAGATATTGCATGTTTTAAAAATTCTTGTAGCACACCAGTTGAAAACTGCTATTCTAGAGCAACACTGTCCAATATAACTTTTTGTGACAATGGAAGTGTCCCTTAATATCTGTGTTGTCCAATATAGTAGCCTCTAGTCACATATGGCTATTGAAAGCACATGTGGCTAGTGTGACATTAATTTATATGGCCACACGTGACCCCTTTCTACTGAACTGGACAGCACAGTTCTAGAAATATAGTAAAACGAGAACATGCATGCCAATTAAGACAAAAGCAACTTATCAAAATACGATGACTCACCAACAATAAAACAATGCAAGGTAGATGTATATTGAAGGAGTAAAGCTGAGAAATGCACAACGCCCAAACACACCATAAAACTACTGAAAATCTGTCTTTCAAGTATCTAGGCACCCAACAAGGTTCGTTTTAAATATCAACTTCATTCATACTACCAAGTGTAAACTGTGTATTAAGAGGCAGTCCCTGTAAGGAGCTTACAGCGGGGATGGGGGATATAAGATATAGGTAGACAGGGAACAGGAGGAATCACTTAAGTATATACAACCAGTGTTTTAGGGCAAAATGGGAAGTGTCAAGAGTCCTGGTGGTAAGAGAAACTGGAGAGCAGTTTAAGAAAAAAAGCAGCCATTATCCAATTCTCTAGGAGCAAAAGTGTAAGATAATTTACTGTATCTCCACCTATGATGCAGAAAAGCCTAATGGATTCAAAAAAAAAAAAAAAAATACCACAGCAGGCCTCAGAAATTGGTCCTGGCTTTACTCACACCACCACCGTCAGGGTACCATCAATCCAAAACTAGTCTTAGAACAAATCCTTCCAGCTCGTTTCCATTAAAATTTCACAGCAGAGAGTAGTATAGTTTTCTTTACACTCAAACCATGATTATCTTTAAGTTATAACATCTTTTAGGTCCTGGAGATGTGCTAACTAGCAGTTACATAGTAGTACAATCTTGTGGTTAGTATACAGATAGCATCTGGAGCTAAAAATAAGTAGTCTGAATTCATTTAGTAGCTACAGGTAACCCTTGAACAATACAGCTTTGAACTGCAATGGTCCACCTATATGCTGAATTTTTTTCAGCAAATATAGTTAGCCCTTCATATCCACGGTTTTCTTGGCTTCACGTCAACCAAGGGAAAAAACCATCTTCAGACTGAACCAACCATGAATCAAAAACAGAATTTTTGCATTTCCACATCAGTTTCCCCACCACAGATTCCCAACCATTGATCAAAAATACAGTTTTTCAGCCCTGGCCAGTGTGGCTCAGTTGGTTGGCGTGTCGTCTGCATACCAGGTTACAGGTTCTAATCCTGGTCAGGGCAAATACGTGGGTTGCAGGTTCAATCCCCACTAAGGGCACGTACGGAAGGCAACCAATCGATGTTTGTCACATCAATGTTTCTCTCTCTCCCTTCCTAGTATCAATAAACATTTTTAAAAACATTTTTTAAAATACTGTTTCAACATGAGGTTGGTTGAATACACAGATTTGAAGGGCTGACCAGAGTTAAAAGTTTTAATCGGCCCTGGCCTGGTGGCTCAGTTGGTTGGAGCATCACCCCCATACACCAAAGGGCTGCAGGGTAGACTCCCAGTCAGGTCACATTCCTAGGCTGCGGCGTGATCCTCATTCAGGGAGTATGCAGGAGGCAATCAATGTTTTCTCTCTCACATCAATGCTTTACACTCTCTTTCCCTTCTTCTCTCTAAAATCAATAAAAAACGTATTTTCAGGTGACAATTTAAAAAAAAGTTATAATCAGATTTTCAGCTGGGGGGAGGGAGTGTCAGTACCTCAACTCCCATGTTCAATGGTCAAGCGAGTATTTTCTGAGTCCTCAAAAAAAATCAATGGCAGGTAGGGGAGATGCTGGTGTGAGGAGTCTTCAAAATCGTAACGACATCAGGCATTATCTGCAGGACAAACAAGTTGAGAGTATAACTACTATTAAGAGCTTGCAAACTGGAAGACTAGAGAACAAGTTACATACTGTAACTTCCTTAGAAAAGATTTCTTAAAAATCAGCCAATTTTCTCATCTTTATTAGCACGGATTATCCATGACGAAAGTCAGAAAAAAAAAATCTATTTTTTTCCTAGAATGAATAAATGGCCCTGGGCTAGTTCAATACTTAACTTCTTTGAGCTTGCTTTCTCAGATTTAAGATTGAGGAGAGAATGAGACTCGATGCCCTCAGAGATAACAATGAATTAACTATGATAATTAACGATAATTACTTACAGACTGACTTCAGCAAGCCTTTCAATTCAATCCTAATTCATCCATAAACAGGAAAAACAGAACTCTGGTGATTATTAAAATATGTCAGATTCTCTGATACCTCTTCCCTTGGCCTTAGGCTGGCTTTATTGACTTGCTTTTTTTTTTTCTTTTTTAATCCTCACCCAAGGATATTATGACCATTGCTTTGGAGGAGTGGGAGGGGAAGGCATGTCAACGCGAAAGAAAACACTGATCACTGATCAGTAGACTACCGACTCCCACATGCACTAGGACCCAGGATCAAATCACAGCCCAGGTCTGTGGTCTGACCAGCAATCCAAGTGGCAACCTTTTGGTACATGGGACAACACTGCAACCAAATGAGCCACCCAGCTAGGGCACGACCTGCTTTTACCTAACAGCACGTGGCAGTGATGGGGTGGCTTCTTCCTTGGTTCACTATTTTGGAGGCAAGCCAACTATCACGTTGTGAGGACACTCAAGCAGTCCAATGAAAAAGAATTGAGACCTGCCAGCTGCAAGAAATAACCTGCTAGAGCGTGAGCCACCTTAGAAACAGATCCTCTGGCCCAGTGAACATCTTGACTGTAACCTCATGAAAAGACCCTGACCCAGAACTACCAACCTAATTAAGCTACCCCCTAGATTCCTGACCCTCAGAAACTGTATGAAGTAAACAATTTTCCAGCTCTGAACCCTGATCCATTTGTGATTGATGAAATCAACTTTAGGCACCACAATCAGTTCTTTTAAAATAAACTAGTTAGAAAAGATGGAAGAGTGAGTAACTGATAACAGATACTACTTCCTAAAATTTTGTTTCAATTTCACATATATATGTATACCAAGTAGCATTTAACAAAATATATTTCTTAGAATCAGTAGTGACAAAGTTTGAAACCGACAGCCAACACTTAGGTTTATGACAAAACATTCCCTAAAGCCCAGGGAATCTTTGAGGGAATGTGGTCTCAACAGCAACCAACTATAAAATAGGCATTTTCTATGAATTTTATAACCAAACCAATGAAATATAAGATACTCTCAAAATACATCTTTTCTGATTTATATGTTAAACTTGGTATAAAACACAAAAGGCATGGCAGACTTGTAAGTACAGCATGTTAAAAGCACGTTGTTTTCCAAATCTAAGACGTTACCCATAAAATAACATAATAAAAAGCCGCTCTTGGACCTATCCACATTTATTATTTCCTCTATTACTTTAATAATCAATGTTAAAGGAAATTCCATCTTCAACCTGAGCACACACACTTAAAAATTTCTGCCAAAAAAAGTTAGGCATAGTATTATTAAATCACTTTCTGCCCACCGTCCAAGTCTCACTGGAACTATCTTCTTCAGAACACAGGCAAACACATATTTTTCTCATGCCTCAGCATAACGTATCAAAACTTTCAGCACTACAAGAGTTTGCAGAATATTTATGTGTAACAACTTTTGATGAATCCACTTAGATTATTTCCTTGAACTGTGGTTTTCTTTGAAAATGTGTGAAACTATTTTTGAACTCCTAATTTGCCAAATGTATTTCCAAAATGCAAAATAAATCAGCGCATAAACACTAAACAGATGATTTAACGTATTTTTCTTATTACTTAATTCAGGACATTTATGACTCTCCCACCACCAGACTAACAGCTTTTCTTTGGTCCTATCCTGAGATACACAATTAGCTCTCCTTGAAAAGACTAAGGTTTTCTCCCCAACCTTTGCATATGTAGCCATTTAAATATTTCAACTTCAACAAGCACTCCTTATAATGCTATGGATGTGATGGTGACTAAAACTCAAATTAGCATACTCGACAAAATGCAAGTGTGCAAGCCTATGTCTTGAGAGAACTTGCAGCTCCTGAAGGGAAAGACTAGACTGGTCCTTGACAGCACTTTCTCTAGGAATGAGATTGAGTTTCAGGAATAACCCCTTGGTCTATTTTTATACAACTACATAGAGTATAGTTCTGAGAAACTATTTGTTGATTTTAAAAATAAGCATAGTTTCTTTGACTCTAAGCCAATTACTCTTAAACACATAAGCAAATTTCTACCCAATGGCTTCAATCTTCAACTTTAGCATTAGTTTTGCCCATTTTTTCCTTAAGTTTCTCTTAAATCAGTTCACTCTCCATGTGAGCACTCACTCCATCAGATCACAAACTTCAGAAAGTTCAGAGTCACGCTCTAGAAGAACCAAGAACCCAAAGATATTTAACTATGACTTTCTACCTACCAAAGTCACTTTAATTTCCTAATAAGATGAAACAGATCTCAGCTGTAGAGACAACCCAAGAAACCAGGCCTGCCAGTCTGAAGGGCCACTTTGATGTTTTAGTGAGAGTGCACGAGGAATACTTATGTCAGGGTCAGAATTTGGTTTTGCAGGCAGACATTTAACCACTCAAGTCATTTATCTAGCTGATCAAAGAACAAGAAAAGTTCAAGGCAGGTATGCACTAAATCTATTATTCACTTTAGACTACTATAGTTACACAGCAGCTTATTCTGTATTCAAAGAAGAAAGAATTAGTCACGAGTAGCCCCAGTACAGCTTACTGGATTACTCAATCAAACTCAAGAGTTTTGGAAGAGACACTTCTGTATGTTAAATTAACTCTCTTAACGTAGTAAGTTTGCCTTAAATATCTGTGAACTCTATGCCAGGGCACTGTGCTATGTAAACCAAAATGGGTTCCACATCAAGTCAAGGATCTATATAACCAAGATGACATGCTTTACAACCAGAGTACCCTGGAAACTGCTGCCTCCATTCTTTTTTGAGTCTTCAAAATACTATCCAAGTAAAATAACTAAATGGTTAAACCCAGCCCTCAAAGGACTGAAATGTGCTTCCACAGATACAAAATTCTATCAAAATGCCAACAACACAACAGTAACTTTAAAACACTAGGAATGACTATCAGAGAGGATCTAAGTCCCCTGCCTGCTCTGATCCGTTTCAGGACCTCCCTGTTAAAAGAATTCAGCACCTCTAAATTTATAGGATGGCCAACTCTGGAATCCATTCTAACAGCACCTTAGAAGCCAGATTTAACAGGAGAGTAAACCGTTCTAGCAAACATACTTTGCAGACAATTGATATTTTTGGACCAAAGCTTCAAAAGCTAAAACCCAATTACTTAAACCAAAACCAATTCAATATTAACAGAAACGTCTTACATCACTCAACTAGTCTTTACACCAGCACCTCTGCCTCTACACACAGCACAAACACGCATCTCTAAACCAGTATGACTTTTCGATTATCACTAGTGATAAAAGGTATTCGTGATTTGTAATTATCTCTCTGGTTCTCAACTCCAGTCCATTTCAAGTCTTACGGTTAAAACTTCTGCTAATGCAGGAAGTCAAGGGACAAAAGCATAGGCCCAGAGATGTCAAGCAGAAGCTTACAGAAGAATCCGAGAAGCAGTTTCCCATCCCTTCCCTGAGTACATCCAGGGTCATCCTACCTAAACATTTTATGTAAAACACGGGGCTTGTGACTCAAGCTTCCAGCCCCAGTAAGTGGAGAGAAGTTTCCTTGCTCGCCTCGGCTGCACATGGTTTACAGAAGTTTGGCTGGAGCAGAGCGCGGAGCCTGGGCGGGAGCGGCAGCGTAGTCAGTGCTGCAGGCGGCGGCGGCGGCGGCGGCGGCAGAGCAGCAGGAGGCGGAGGCGGAGGCGGGCGGGGGGAGGGGAGGCGGCGGGAGGGGGGCGGAGGGGGCTCTTGCCGCCACTGCTCTCTCGCCGCCTCTCCCCCCCGGCGGGAGCCGCTCTCAGCCTCTTTGCACTAGTCGCTCCGCTCTCTCGGTCATGTGACCTTAACGTAACCGGACAGGAAAAGCCCCGCCGCCGCCGCCGCCGCCGCGCCGGAGACACCGACCGCGGCAGCAGCAGCAGCAGCAGCAGCGAGAGGGAGAGGCGGCGGCGGCCGGCAGAGCGCGGCCAAGGCTGCCCAGCGGTGCCTCCTCCACACCCCGCGCCGCAGCAGCACCGGCGACAGGTAAGCACGCACCGCCTCCGCCTCCCGGGGCTGGTGCCCACGTGCCGCCCCCGGCCCGGGCTCCGGGAAGGCGGAGGGGGGGGCGGGGGCCACCGGAGCTCGCAAACGGTTCCGGCAGCGACGGTGGCAACAAAGAAGTCGAATGACCCCCGTCGCGGGGCTCCGGGTGAAGGCAGGCGGAGGGCCCGAGCCACACGGGGACCCGGTTCTGGGAAGTGAGGGCAAGGCCGCCCCTGGGAGCGGCAGCGGCTGCGCCTGGCGCCGGGGCTCTGGCCGCCTGACAAAACCATCCCCCGGAGCCAGGCGGCGGCGAGTCGGCGGCGGCTCCATCCGGGGCTTTGCAGGAGGGGGAGGGGACGGAAGCCGAGAGGGCGGGCGGCGGATCGGAGGAGGGAGGGAGAAAGGGGAGGGGGCGATTCGCGTTCCGTTCCCCGTCGCCGGTCCCTCCCTTCCCGCCGCCTCCGCGAAGTGCGTCCCGAGTGGTGGCGGCCGGTGAGCGTCCCGCGCTGGAGCCCCAAGAGGTGGGCCCGTCAGGTGCGTAATCCTTCCGACGCCTCGCCGCCGCTTTCTGCTGCTGCCGCCGCTGCTTCTCCGGCGGCAAGGCCGCGAGCTGCGGAAGTGGTTTTGGGGGAGGGGAGCGGGGAGGGAGGGGGAGGGGAGGGATCCGGTCCGACCGGAGCAGGCCCGGCCTCTCTGGCGCTTCTCCCAGCTGCAGCGGCTCCTACAGCTGCTGCCGCTACTGCTGCGGCTCCGCCTCCCCGCCCGCGGGCGGGGGCGCGCACGCGCGCTTCCGGCCTCTGGGTCTCGCGCTGTCTCCGGCTCTCGCGCGCGCTCTTCCCCTCTCCTTGTTTGGCCACCCTCCGCCCCCGGCGCCGGGACTGTTGCGCCGGCCGGGGCGTTGCGCACGGCGTAGGCGTCGGCATTGTGTTAAACTCCGCGGGACTTGGGGCGAGCGCGCGCGCGCACGCGGGACGGCGCAGCCTGAGTGCGTCGCCCCTCCCCGCCTTTCCTTTCAGCCCCAGGGGAATGGGGGCGGGCCGGGGTGCGCGGCGCTGGTCCCTTCGGGCCTCCTTGAGTCTGGCTGGCCCCGCCCCCTTGATCGGGGCGGAGCAGGCGGGGCGGGGCGGCAGTTTGCCTACTCTCCCGCGGGCTGGGGAAAATGTAGACCTTCCTGGGTGCTACGTCTGTCGCGGGCTGGGGCCGGGACGGTGGGTGTGGGCCCGCTGAGCGGGAGGTCTCGGGCTTCCGCTCCACCGGTGATGTGCGTCTTCGATAAGGCCCACAGGTATACTGTGGTTTCTACCTGCTTTGCCTCGCGGCGCGGGACTGGCGACAGAGCCACGCTCCCTGCCGGCGCAATCTTCACATCCCGTAGGGCTACGAGAATGAGAGATCGTGGCGCGGAGGTCTTTTTCTCTGTGTAGCGTAACCCCCAAGCCATTAATCTTTAAACAAGGCTGCATAGAGAACTGGTAGTACACAAAATGCTTAGTAAGAGGTTTTTGTCGCTTTTAGCAGGTAGTGAATTAAAGAGGGCAATAGAGAAGAAAGCAAGGGTAGCAGAACAGGCAAGATAGTGATCGGGCAGAGTCAAAATATAGTTAGATATTGCTACGCCATTTACAGCAAGAACTTTCAACTGCTCAATTCCTAATTATGCCTTAGGGAAATATCCCAGGCTTTTTCTTACCCTACCCATCTGCAGTGTTCATTTGTTCGTCATAGAGTGCGCTCCCTTAGTGTGTGAGTTTCAGATGTATTCATTTGCATAGGTTATTTCTTAAAGCATTGAAAAGGTCGGAATTCCAGACTCATTGAACTCCCGGGTGATCTGGGTTTGCTTGATTGGGCTGCTCTGTCCTTGCTAGGACGGACCCTCTATGTTGACCCTGACGCAGCACAGAAGCAGGGTGTACATAGCACAGTATTTTAATCAGACCTGAAATTTCAGTAGAGAATCAGAATTTTTTAATCCTGATTTAAATGTTAAATCCTCGTTTCTCTGATTTATTACAAACCAAAATTAATTGTTAAAGTTTATTTTGGATTCTTGTCTATCTAGGGTGTTTTCAAATTGTTAAAAGATAATTTTTAAGAAGAGAAATTACTACTAATACTACATTGTTTTAAACTGGGCGTTTCTCACTTCCATGTGTGGTGTATATAAGTTTATTTTCTAACCAAAAAATTAACCTGTTTTGAAACCATCGTAAGATCTCAAAGTACAAGAAGTAATATACCAGTGTTAATTAAATACCACAAATAGTCAACAGTGAAGGCATCCTTAAATGGTGGCAGATAAACGACCCCTAAAGCTTTGTTGTATAGTCCAGCTGCTTAGTTGTAAGCTTTAAAGCTTCTCTTCAAAGAGAGTGTCAATAGATAGATGGTGCTCCACAAACTCTTCCACCAAAATACTCCAGCTTCAGAGAATAAACACTAGGCATGTTTTAGGTCATAGAATAGAAACCGCCATGGTGACAGTTTCTTTTTTATTTTAAAGATTAATATGAACTTTGCCCTGTCCTCCAAATTTTGCACTTTTGTACCATAAAGAAATTATGAAATAATATAAAATCTTACCCCAACCCTCTAAGAATATGCACCTTGAGAACACTGCATATCCATGCATAAGGGGATATGCTTTTCCCAACTTGAAAATTACTGAAGTAGTGGTGGGGATTTAAGGGAACATCTAATGCTGATACATGACATTGCCTTGGAGCCAGCGTCTATGGAGCCGGAGACTCTCTTGCCAGTCTCTCGGTGCTTCATCCCTAGACCCAGCCATCTTTCCCTAAAGTGACTTTAAAGCTGTGGGCAAGTAGTGTGGCACCAAGGTATCATAGTAAAGGAAGAACTGCTGGTTGGTTGGAGACTTTACCATAAATTTCAAAGTGCTCCTGGCAAAAGGGCATTTATCACTTTACATACTGCTTATAGTCTTAAGGTTGCAGAGCATGCTCTTGAAAACCTAAAAGGGAGTTGAGAATTTTTATTTGCTGAAGGGGGGGGGGGGGGAAGAAACATCCTAAGCATTAGATTGAGAACATTTTTTAAACCTTTTTTATGCTCAAGTAGGTTATAATTTTTATTAGCAAATTAAACTTAATTAAAATATTACTTTGAATTAATAGTAAACAAGATCCAGTGTCTTTACAAGACTGATAGGCCATTAAGAGATGGAGTCAGTAGCCACAGAACACTTATCAAGAGTTGGCAGTCCGACATTTAGGGCTTTTCTTTTTCTTTTTCTTTTTTTTTTTTTTTTTTTACTGGTACAAAGGCCAAAGTAGAGGCTGGTACCTATGCTCAAACATATAATCCCAGTTCACGTGCATGAGATATGTATTGCGTGACTTCCTCACTTCAAGAAAGATCAGTATACAAAGGTAGGAATTTGTAAAGCACTTACATGTAGTACTTAGGAAGCAACTGTTTTTACTTTATACAAACTTTTAACATACACTTCCTTTAAATAGTGTGTGCCCCTGAGTTCTCCACCAACCAAGGGTGAGCATCAAAATGGGCTTGAGCATGATTTCAAAGCTTGGGTGTATTCTCCTATACCATGCCTAGTCACTTAGATTCTCCAAATCCCCAAAGTGGTTCTGAACACTGGTTGTCTAAGTGTCATCTGCAGTCCCTTACGAAACCACAGAATCCTTTCAGGGTTCCACAAGGTCAAAACTATTTTCAATATGATGCTACAATGCTACTGGCCTTTTTCAGTGTTGAAAAAAATGTGTCCACATTGGGAAGATCCACATAACTCAATAAACTAATATTTCCAAATGCCAATGGATGATGTTAAAAATCATGTGCAAACAATCCATTCCAAGTGCAAGGAAGAGCGTAAATTTTACTATCTAATAAAGTAGGAAAATATCATTCACTGATGTATTTTTAGATCACACAATTTTCAAGAAACTAAGCCTTGTCAAGTTTTGATGTAGTATCCAAAAATATCCACAATTACCTGAAAAGGCTATTAAAATTCATCTTTTTTCAACTCTGTGGTCGAGTTAGGCTCGACTGTCTTTGATACTGAACCCAAACAGGTATCACAACAGAGCTGGTGGAGAAGCAGAATAAATGCAGAACCCAGTTGTCTTCTATTAAAGAGATTCGTGAAAACATGAGAAGATACCACTTCACTATTTTTTGTTTGTTTGTTTTGGGAAATAAAAATTTTTTAATAAAATTATGGTACCACACAGTGGGCTTAATATTATTTTTAACTGAATTAATAAATAGTTTTAAATTTCTCAGTTTTAATTTCTAACATGATAAATATCAATAATTACATTCCACATAAATGACAGTTATTTGATGTCCCTAATAATTTTAAAGAGTATAAAGAGGTCTTCATTCCAAAAAGTTTGAAAACCCCTGACCTAAAATATTGAAACAAATTATTCAATTAAGACTTTGAATTAAAACACAATTGGTGTTCCTCTGTGACATATGCTGAGCTATACCTTTAGGTGACTATATTTTCTTCAGACTAATTTTACTAATCATACAGTGTTTAAAAAAGGAAGACAATTTCTACTTTGGTGGGTTACTGGAAGCAAATTAAATTAGGTTTTAAATTTTGTTCTGTGCTCATGTGTTGGTTTCCTTAAAGTTGATTGTAGCATAATGTCTTTAGAATTATCATTTTAATATCAACTCTTTATTAGCCATAAATCTCTGACCTGCTTCTCCTTGACACCTAAGCTGTCCCTGAACTGACCTCAACTTATACTCAAAAATTAAAAACTAATTTTAATATGAACTTAGGCAAAATATAATTGAAAAGACAAACCTTTATACATGCAATGTTTTAAAAAAGTCAAAATAAGTGCCAAATAATTGGTTAGTTTATGTCCCTCCTTTTTGTAATTATTGTAGAAGAGGATTGACTAAAGAAATGTTAAAAATACATATATATCAATACCAATCTGTCACCAGCACTAAATAAGATACATTTCCTAGCTTTGAAATACAGTTTTAAA